CACTGGCTATGTGGTTTCAGTGAGCGGACAACATCTTGGTAAAATAATCCGTGAGTATCCTCTATATACATGTTATCAGACTCATTTACCAATATCTTTGGATCGTAGGAAGACTTCAGGTAGATTTTTGAGGTGGTAGTCAGGGATGGGCTTACGTTTGGATATGGTATGCAGTGAGAGACACCTGTGTGATAATCAGATATTAATATTTTAGAGATATTAGTATCCGCGTTTGGTGTCGACACTGTGTCAGCTATCTCCCGGGAAATATGCCTTGCCCTAGGTGTAGACTCTTCGCTATGCGAATACGGCTAATTATGAATAGACAGTATTCTAATATTTGTCTCACACATGTTTTGTTTAGAATGAACCCGGCTTCATGGTCGTGGAAGTTCTTAAGTATACATCCTAAAAGCATCCTCAACTCTCGTGTCTGTGGCGGCACTTGCTCAGAAAATGTTAGGTCACTGAAGTATCACAGGACTAAGTCAACGATACAAAACAATTCAGGTAGGTTAGCTTATCGAAGAGTTGGTTTTATGTCGACTGAGAGGGCGCCGAAGCAGATCCAATCACATTTTCTAGACTGAATCGCAGATTCTCTAAAGACGAACAGCCAGTCGCTTTAGCAAACTCATTCTGCACAACATTCTGGAAATACTTTAGGTCATCGCGTAGAATGTGTAGGCCACTTTTAGGTCATCTAAGGAGATGAGTAGTTTTCCAGGTTAGAAGCGAGTACATATGTTGTCAATATAAAGTGTAAATTAGAAGGACCCAGTGACACTACCTTGAACTACACCAGAAGTGATTTGGCTAGGTTTGAAGGTCTCAGATCCAAGCACGACTATTCAGGACCTGTTGTTAAGGAATGATTCAAGCCATCCTAACAGTGGGTCATGTATTCCTAGGGAGTTTATTTTATGTATTAGCTTCAAATGGTCGACGCGGTCAAGTGACTTAGAAATGTCAGAGTAGATGGTAAGTACTGGTTGTCGTCTGTCTTGACTGCCGGTCACAACATTAAAGAATTCTAGATGGCATGTTGAACGTGATCGGGATTTTAGGAAACCATGTTGGTTCGAATGTGCAATATTGCAATCAGCAGTATGTTTCAAAACTATCTTTAGTTAGTCTCTCCATAACTGCAGATGCTATGGGTGTGATACCGATTGTCCTGTAGTTGTTGACTTCTGTTTTTGTGTTACATTTGTGTTTAGGTATAATAAATATCCTTTTCCGCATATCCGGGAAAGTTTGAATTTCTAAGGACATGGTGGAGATTTCAAGCATTGATACGGGAATACTATGACCACCATATTTATAAAAATATGATGATATACCGTCGGTGCCAAGAGCCTTAGAGCTCTTGTGAGCCCTGATAGTTTGGTAACCTCAACTGTACTGATTCGTTTTTGTGTGGGCTCTTTATTCCTCAGACGCGAATCCTGAACTTATGGGATTGAGCTAAGAACGTAAAGTATCGCCCCTGATGCGCTACTGATTGGACCGGCGGTATCTCAGCAAATGAGTTCTAGTTGAAGATGCTCAGTGCTCTCGATAGGACATCAGTAGTGAAGTATTGAACACATTCAGAGGATCTTAGCTTTGATTCTACTAGAGCCCAGTTTGCTTTACTATAGTTCCTCCTTGTTACTTATTGGGAAGCAGAGGTATAAGCCGCACTGCTTGTCAGTGTCCAGGTCTTAGTAAGCTGGACCTCACGCTGTCCCTGGAAAACTCTCAGAAGCAATATGTATTAACCAACGCGAAAACCAGAACACAGGTTGGCGACGCGAGAATCCTTTGTTCTTACGCCAATATGTAACCAAAAATAAGGTTATTACACACAAGATCTAAGAATAAAAGTTATAACAATAAATCACGACAATGTTTCTGATAGTTTTCTCTCTTCCACCGAACAGCGAACGATGAGATGATGACTGACGGATTGATGACTCCCGCGAAAAATATGGAGGAGTTGGGTTTGAACAAACAACCATGAATTGATTGTTCAATCTTCAACTACATGGACATGTTGTTAAGTTATTTGGGCCATACCAATAGTAGATCATATATTCCTAATGAATTAAGCTTATTCATCAGCGGCACATGATCGACGCAATGCAGTGCTTTAGAATTGTCAAAGTGGATGACGAGTACTGTTTCTCATATGACTAGGCTACTGTTTGAGAAGTTAAAAAAATTCGAAGTGATAGCATTTACATAATGGTGATTTTATGAATCCATGCTGGCTGAAACTTAAGACATTGCAGCTAAGCATGTGTCAATGTAGTTGAAGACTGAACGATCAATTCATGGTTGTTTGCTCAAAACCTTATTCCCCAATTTTCGCGGAAGCATCAATACGACAGTCATCGTCTCATCGGTCGCTGTTCAGAAAGAAGTCAGGCCAAAACCGTCAAAAGTAATATTGTGATTTATTATTGTAATATTTGTTCACAGGCCTTAGTCATACGTCATTTATATGTTGGTGTAACAATAAAGAATCCTCGAGTCAACAATTGGTGTTTTGGTTTTTCGTCCGTTATTACTAAGCGTTTCTGAGAAACTTCAAGGAACAGCGTGAGCCCGAGCGCAGCAAGAGGTGGGCATTAACGGTTTACGAGACGTGACTGACAGCATGTCTTAGAGAAAGTTGTCTTTGATCAGTTCACTTATTATTCTAGACACCATGGAATGTCTAAAATACAATGTAGGAATTTTAAAAAGAAAGCAAGAACGTCAATAAAAACAAAATGATTTAGCGTCAATGGTAACTCCACTAGAGATTTCGAGAATTATAGCAGTTTTTCTATGAAGTTAGCATTTTTTGACTTAATGGTACTAGAACAAGACATATTAGCAAACAATATTGTTTTCAATTAGATCTGCCTCATGCTCCACTCTAATTTATATAGATTTATATATAAAAATCTTAACCGATGACGGTGAGTTTGTGGATCAAATAATAATAATATAACAGATGTTTTGAACGTCAGTAATAACGGTAATTATGATGAGCTTAATACACGTTTCGCCACTTATGTATCTTTTCAGTAACTGCATCCATCAAATTACCCTGAATCAGCAGAAATTTAGTAATAATGCTAATATCCTCGTACGAGTTAAGTGTAGACCAAAAAAGAGGATTGTGATCTTCGAGTAATGGTCTGCACATGTCTCGTTCAATAACCCACACATATCTGCAGTTACCGTACAGCTTTTCTTGATAGATGACTGGAGCAGTGCTATGATATCTAAGTTCCAGCCGCTTATTTTAGTTTCCGAGAGAGCAGACACTCTAGTGAGGCTGACTGGTGTAACACACTCTTCATTTTCACATACAGTTTAGGAAATTGTGAGATGAACAGTCCAGTTTTGCTTCGTATATCATTTTGCGTTCTGTATTAACGGAACCGTTTGTGGTTCTCTAAATAGTCCTACAGATTCTGTTAGAATGCGTTTTTATTAATTATGTGTTCAATCATTGTGATCTTGGCGTTTGGATGCCGGGTAACTCCATATTTGTAGGATTGTTCCATATTTATCTGATACGATATGCTTAATATAACAGTAATCTTGCAATCCTTCAGCAGTCTGTCACCGATACGATTTTCACACTGAAGCCACAAGCATAAGTGACCTCACATGTTTTCTAATACTACAAGATTGTACGCGGCCTTCAAGGGAGTTGCTCTCAATAAATCATAATCTCGCTGAGATTACATGTAGTTCATGCAAGTACGTTATGAATTACCTTGAAAACAAGTTACTTTTACTCTAAATAAAGTGTCATAAGTGTGTAACTCACTGAACTTAGCTTAGTGAATCCTACGAAAAATTACATTTGCATATTTAGGAAACTCTAACCGTCAAATATGAGTTACATGGGTTTAAATCTAAACAGTATACAACTATGTATAGGGTTAACACAAGCACAGCTTAACATTCAAATTATTACAAAATACGAAGACTTGTAGTACTTATTAGGATAAAAATGCCACATAATGCAGGCTAGATATTAAGTTGTGATGCTACATCTACGCCACTTAATGTGAAAAGAAATCCAGGGACTGAATCACCTTCATTACCGGCGACCAAAAACACTTAAAAACAGACATTTTGTAAACATTTTCAGTAAAAATAGCATGACAGACAGTAGGATGACAAAAATAAGGTTTACTGAACTACGTTTTCGCAATGAATAGAATACGTGTACGGAGTAAAATAGGTGCCGAGTTAATGCAGCAGGTAATAAATTGCTGCAAATTAATTGAGTTCTCAACCTTTTTTCTTCATCGCGGATCCAACAATCATGAGGATCAACTGCATTTGTTGGTTTAGCAATCAGATAAGCAGAAAACGTCAAAATGTTAACGAAATTCAGAAAATTGTTTGTGCATTGAATCGATAAAATTCATATTAAATTACACCAATCAGTGCAATCATGTATTAAATGCACATATGAATAACCTTTCAACTTGCGATAATTTCTGTCCCGACTTACAAATGGCGAAATAATGATTTAACATCATAACTCCTATCTCCACAAAAGAGCTCTCTCAACATTTGCAGATGATTTTCATATGTCTTCAGCACATACCTGTCAAATGATACTCTGCTTTCGACGAAAATGAATTGTAAGGATATCCTAAGATATGTGGCGTCTTATTAAAATGATACTGTGCCAAGAAGTTTACTATTCAGGGGGACGGTAATATCTTCCAATTGCAACACTTCAACGCAGTTCACCTGAGACGCAAATCCTCGCAAACAACAAGCAAAAGTGTATCGCAATCTGACCACATGACGGTCATGTCAGCATGGCATGTCAGAAAACCAGAGTTCTCATCAATTCAGACCATAAGCAAAATAATATTAGTGAAATAAAGTCTTAAGAAATGGTTTGCTGATCGAAATTTTCACCAGCACGCAGGATAGTTCTAGCCAGTTTTTTAAATGCATTAGACATTGAAAGTTGCATTATTTGTATCTGTTTTGTACTTGGCAACCTGTTATCGTAATGGTGGATGAGGACAGGATTTTCCGTTTGTTTCAAATTCGTAGGAGTAATATACATACTGTACGCGAGGACATAAAACAGACGGACTACAGCCGAGGTTTTAGTTTTTCCAAAGAATTTCGGAGAATAACATTAGGGCAGAGGTAAGACAATTGTACGTTAACGTACAGAAATAATATCATTTGTCACTATTAAAAACATTTTACTTTTTTATGAATAAAATATAGGTAATCATTTCATCTTATTGTTAATTAGTGTCAAATTGTTGCACATGTGTATGCAGACCCAAAGCTTTGGGTCCGGTGCAGACGCCAGGGCGAAGACTTCGAGCAACTATACAGCTCTGTTTAGTGTGCCGTAATTCCTTTGCCCCCTGAAACCAGAAGACATTACTCGCTTTGAACATATCCGTGTGTTAATCGATTAACAAAATTAGAAGTGATTTTTTACGTCCTGCAGACACTTTGGGTTCCTTTTTGGCAATTTCTTGGTTGGATATAAACTGACGCAGCCTATTTCTGCCCTTTGGATGTCTCCAAGTTATCCAATCACTTCATCGGTCCTGTATTTTGTCTAAGTTGTGCCTCAAGATTTTGGTGCTGATCTGTTTTATTATGCCAATAAAGTTTATGCCTAAGAGTTAGGATTCACTGTCAGGCTTGAATACCAAATTAAAGTTGTGAATAGGAATGTTTTACAGTAGCACCAGGGCCCAGTCGGAAAACTTTTTGGATTCTAGCTAGAACTAGAATGAAACATTCTTAACATGTGAGTCCACAAACCACCAACTAACCATATAGTTAATATAGTCTCATTCAGACCTTCCATGGTCATATAGTGGTTTATATAACGCATCTTTACTCGCTTGTGTGTTCTTAACACCATAGTACAAAAAGAACGATGCTTTTTAGCTTGAACTGTAAAACTCAAGGCGTAGTGCCGACAGATTAACAAATTCAAGCAAATAAAAATTTTTCACATCACCTCGTAATCTGAACTTACTGTTTGGAACACCTGTAAAGCTACAACTGCATCGTTTTGGAGAGTCCCACATGAAACGGCCGTACATCCTTCCATTCCCTTTTGCTTCCTTGATGGTATGCGTTTTAACTTGACTTTAAAAGCTTTAAAATAGGGTTGATAATCACTTAGAATCGTCCCTCACACATGTTTTGTGACATATATATGCATATAATTTTTGGTCTGTATACCGTTATAGTAGAAGACCTCGTCATCGGTAAGTTCCTAAATAAAAAAACTTTGAAACAAATGCAGCATAAATTCCAGAAATTAGGAGCTATAAATGCTGCCCTTGGGCTCCAAAACCCCTATGGTTAGGCTACTAAAATACTGTTTAGCTCCTTAGCATTCTAGAAAAGCATTATAGATATTAGCTGGAGATGATCTGTATTTTGGTACGAGTTTCAAATGAAAATAATAAGTAAAAAATAACTCTGCGTTTCAGAATTTAAGTCTTGGCTACACCCAGTCTACTATTATTGGTTTGTGTTCATTAACTTACAAGGGCGCACGGGAATGTAATTATCTCCGAATAAAAAAATAATCATTGCCAAAGTATATGAGCGGTCCCTTGAAGATTAGGTCTGATGTCCTAAATTGGTACCTTTTGCGTTGCTCTAGTAACTTGACATATTCCCGAGAAAATCTAATCTGGAGTTAACGCCGACAAAAATGTAAATTGTCTGTGATATTAAGGTAAATATTCCCAGGAAAATACCTTATTATATTAACTATAATTTTGTAAACAACGATGTTCAGTTGCTGTCTGCTTCTTTATGTTGTTAACTCAACTGAATAAGCGTGGTGTTTTTGAAAAGTTGTTCAATAATTTGAAATTATAATAAAAAGCCATATAAAACTATGTAGGCAGCCATTTTACAAATTTTATATGTAAATGCCTCTGGCTCATATTCATAAGACTAATGTATTGTTCTCCAATAGATTGTACCCGTATTGGTATCTTTGACTGAATGTGAATATTTTATTGTTGTGTGTTACTCATATAGTGCCAGCTAGTTATAGTTTGATTTAAGCGACAAAATGCAGAGTTTAATATTATATTACTCCAAAAGTTAAGTGGTATTCCTCCTAAATATTCTTCACCAACACTATCAGCTTCTTAAAACCATCTGTGTACGTAAAGATAAAAATTTCATCTGTCTAATTCCCGGTCTATTACTCAAAAATTTATTCATCAGACATGCAAGGTGAGAATGACAACACAAACGAGCACCACGGTATTCGACTATCTTCTATTACATCTTGAGAGGATTTATTGGACAGAGCTCAGGTTGTACCTGAAAAGGTACGAAATGAAATGCAAAATTAACTGAAAGTTATTCATGAATATTATGAAGTTAAAATATCATACTTATTCGCTTCTGCTGAAGTAAGAATTTTACTCTGAGCGAATAATAATACAATATGATTCATTAGTTCATTACATAACCACTACGTTTCCTAATAAAAGTGCATTTGAAATACAGCCAAGACTCTAGTTCATTGTGTTAGATTTCGTTTCCAAGTCAAGTTAAAGGATGGTAAATTTATGTTATAAAATTGGAATGTCATAGAGGTACTTTGGCGTAAAATTCAAAAGTAAACAAATAGGCGAATGCTCACTGCAATAAATTAAATGCTGTCGACACCATGTAACGGTTTACTGTTTTAGTTTTTTGTGAACCAGTAAACAGCATGGTTCTGCTTAAGTAAATAGATATTGAGGACTGGTGTGGGACAACACAGAAGACTCGAACTACCACTTCAAGTTGTCAAACCAAAGAAAGATAACGCCTTTCTGAAGTAAGCCATACTCGTCTTTAAGCTCTTAAAGTTGTTATTTCTAGGTTTTCCTCCGTACAATTCAATTACATTTAGCTAGCTAACCTTAAGTAGTACAAAATAATTTTAGTGGACGTAGTCTGCTTAATTTGCGGTTACGCTTTAAATATACTGAGGAGAGAGGTGATCATCCTGTATGATTCAAATAATTCGAAGTAATCGTTTTCTTCGATGGAGTTGCCTTCAATATAATTTACTCTACATATGGACTAAAAAAGAGTTATATTTGACAACTGTAAAAAACATTGTGGAAACATGTTTTCTGTGGCTTAATATGTATCAGATAAATCTATTGATGTATCACTCTGTAGTGGTGTACCCGATTATATCTAAGTGCAATGCGAAATTCCTTATGTGCATATGCGTATACCAATAGTCTCCTGATGTAAATGTCTTCATCTTTATTTTTTTTAAAGTCATTTGACACAAAAATGGAGAAGACGAAACAAAATGTTTGATAGTTTCTTCAGCCAGCAACATGTTACAAAAGGTTAGTATAATTTTATTAGATTTTAGTTGACATTACTCTTGGCGGTAATCACAGAAATAACTGGACAGTCTCGATCTTTATCTCTCATTCTTAACAAGTATTTACATTTATGTTTGCAGCTAAATCATACTCGCGAATTTCTTCTGAAATATAATGTTGATATGTGGTTACACGGATGAATTACTTCTTCGAAAATATGATAAAACGTAATACCAGAAGGTTTTGTTACACTAGAGTAAACTCTTTAAAGATAACCAGTATGACTTACCTCACGTTAAGAAGCTTGATTCCTTGTGTTAATTCTCCCGTTTGCTCATTGTGGGATTCTTGTTTATGTGAAAGACTATTTCTTGTGACATTTCATATTTTATCATTTGAAGAGATGTGGCATTTTTTCAAAATGGTTTCCTGTTGTTACATGGTCATTATAAAACTAGAGTTTTGTAGATTTCTAATTAAATAGCAGTCTTATAACCCCCTTTAGTAGTATTGTCGATTCTCAGCTCCACAGACACACAATAATGGAACTATAGACTTGAAAGTCATGGTCTTGCGTCTCTGTAAAATCCACCACGACATATTGTATAACCAGAATTTATAAAACCAGATTCTGTGGAGCTGGAAGTCACCTTCCTGTGAAGTGACTCTTTTGTTTGGTTGTCGCTATCTCCGTAAAAATTTTCAATCTTTAATTGGACACTACTAACTAGTGTGGTGTGTCTAGTCCTTTCTTTTGTGCAGACGAAATTCTGCAAGTTAGGTTTGCAATGTGGCCACCATTCTAGGTAGCTCGCCATCTCAGTGCATGATGATTTGAAGGGACATGAGTTCCTTCAAGCTTGCAGATACGCCTCGCTAACGGGTGCCAGCTGGCACGAAATGTAGGTTCAAGGCTTCCTGTCAACTGCCTCCAACCATCTAAATTTTCTCTCTCGTGGATATAGCATTTCACTTATTCTCACGTCCGTTAGTACCTCTCTTTGAATGTTTGATATTGCCTATCGATAAGCTTCATCGTCTTAGAACACCAACCCAAGTGGTTTTCAGTTTGTCACAAATGTCATCTAGACAGCTTCTAGATTGCTTCGTTGTACTGGTTGAAGGAATAAGAGGAAGAGTTAACTAACGATATGATAATTGTTTTCACTCAGTGCGTTGACTTTTCACTATCCACTTGGTATGGTCAAAGAAATAATGTGATACAATGGCTCCAGAGGCTATTAAATATGTCCAAGAAGTGTTAGTTCTTTTGTTGAATGCAAGGTGTGTATTGTTTCATTAAATTGGCCTTATGGTGGTGCTTCTTTGTCCATTCCGCTATTTTTTGTTTCCATGTTTCCCATTCAGTGTTATTGCATTATTTTAGGAATTGTTATTTAAGAGTATATGCGGAGGCTATATCAACGTTTGGTTAATGTGTTAAATAATAATTCCATATGCTTGAACTTCTGAATTTGCACTGCCTCAACTTTTACTGTTCCTAGTGGTGCACTGTATTGTTCTTAGTCGCGATGCCATGCAGGTTGATTTTGCCCGCATATAAAGCGTAATCCTGTAATCTTTACTTTAATCAGGATAACGAAAAGCTATGTACATACTGTATTTTTGAGAATTTGTAAATTTTGATTAACTAATTATCAGATAAGTTCAACTTAAGTAATCAATCCTCTCTTTTCCTTCCCTTTACATTGCATATTTTACACTTGGATAATTGTAGCCCAAAAATAGTTGTAGTCTCTCATCTTTGACAGGTTTTTAAGCTTAACTCTGCAAAAAGTTTTGAGATTGTCCCTGAAAATACAATTGAAGAGGTCACTGACTAGTATTTGAGCTTTATACAGAAGTTCATAAATGGTTGAAAGGTCCTGAAGTCAAAATCCCCATGTCAGTAATAGGCCCTGAGTCTATTACGATGGATGGTATGAGGTAATACCTTCTCCTCATTCTTGTTGTAATGTTTTATCTCTTTATTGGAATTATCTATCCAAAGCATTCTGTTTCATACTGTATCCATTTTTCGATTACTTTCAAATTAATTTGCGGCTATTACTTGCAGTGAGTTAAACCACTATGTATTAATGCTTAGTCTTCTGTTAATAACAACTGAAGGAACCTCCCAACAGACTAATATATATGTTTCCGTAAATTAATAATGTGCAAATGCCGATTTGTATTTCATAGTTAGTGCACTTCAGTTATTTGAATTGATGTGTGACTGAACGTTTAACGAAACTTTGTTTCCCAGTTCTACAACTGTATTTTTCTGTCTTTATACATCCACTAACGTTTATACTTAAGCCCATTATAGTCTCTGTATAAACTGATGTACTATTTGTCTTATTTTTTACAAGTATGTGATAAATATGGAGCAAATATGTCATCTGCTTTGCTGGCATATAACGAATTATACATTGTTGCTGACCTCTACAATCATGACAGCAAAAATAGTGATATTTGCAGCAGTTTCATTGAAATTTTTCGAAATGTTTTTTTATTTAGATGAAAAACTACCATTTTGTTTTTTGAATGACCCAGTAAACAGAGAACTAAGCCTATTTTGGTGCTTATGAGAAGTTACCGCAATCTTGCTGAGCTGCCATATCCCTACTGTCCTTAACAGTACTACAGTCAGTGGGGAAACAATAATTTTGATGAAGATAAGAGGGTAGAATATATGATCTATTGCACAGTCGCTTTATCTTGTGGTGCTAGAAGAAATAATGCGTATTAAAGATCACAAACAATGAATAAAAGTGAATGAAACTGAATGAAGTCAATTTTGTTAGATTTTACTGGTTGAAAATTTTTTAGTTCAAGGTAAAATCCTTGTATTCTTAGAAAAGCTTCAATCTGTTTTGAGTACATGTAACCTGAAGATTTTTTTGATCAGTTTCTTATGATACTGGTATCAAATTTCATCATACTCGTATATTGAAATTTTCATCGTTTTATAATCTACTGATAGCCAAGGGACGTGGAGTGTACTTCTCGTCTAGTGTCGGGCGTAGCTCCTCATGTGAAAGCTTAGTTACGAAAGAAAGATGTGAGGATGCATCAAATGATTTAAAGCAGCTTAGAGCATTTATTGTAACAGAGATTAAAACATACGAGAATATTATAGAAGGCATTAAAGTAAGTCTTCTTAATTGTATTATTAATGTGTGATATAGGAAATTTATATTGTGTTATTTCACTAAATCTGCCATTGAATAACTTCTTTGAGATTAAGTTTGTAGAAGAAGTTATAGAGCATACATATAGGTGATCGTGATGAAACTTTATATAATACTGACAGAAATGTCATAGGAATAATTAGCAACTTGTTTTCTATTTGCACTGGACCACTTAGGAAATTGGAGTATACAAACTAAAATTTGTACATATTTATTATCCTTCCTGATGGGTTTTGTGTTTTCTGAGCGTCAACATTTCCGCACAGATCTCTCATATCCAGCTTAGTAAATCCAATCAGTGGTGTTCCATGGGGAAGTGAATCTTCAACTCCCTTTGGTGGATGGAAATGATCTAGAATTTCGGAAGTCTTTAATCTCAAATAAAGTATAATTATATTTCAATAGTTTACACACAATGATAAGTTTTGTTGTTGGTAATATTTCGAGCAAAATTACCAATAACAAAACTTATTATTGTGTGTAAACTATTGGAATATAATTATCCTTTATTTGATCTAATCCACAATGCTCAAACTTTTTGCTGATCTTTAATCTCAGTTTAATGAATCCTCGAGTTGAATACGCGTTTATGGGAAAAATATCGGTAACAGCTCTTGATTTGCAGGACTATTGCAGACATACTTAATCGTCATTTATTATTCAATAGTTTTAGGATGAATGATCAACTTTTTAACTCTTTGCTAATTGATGTAATTCAAGCCCGTACATCCAGTTAAATTCTCACGTAATTGATATGAAAGTAAATAATGGACCACTAGCGGCAGTGAACACTGGTGTACACGCATTAACCTTGTTTACTTTATCACAGTCCATCGTAAGTTTTTATCCATCTATACGATGTAATTGATACGCACACACTATCTGATGTATACCTGTTGCATATAAGAAAAATCACTAATATAATTTGTTGTGCAGTTTTTGTTAACAGCTATAATTCTGAAAACTGATATACAACCTTCATTGGTATTAAAGTTATGAAGGCTTATCAAACAAATTAAAAATGGACTTTACAGTTGAGTCCCATAATACAAATGACACAATGGATATAGTAATTTCAGAAGACTTCAAGAATCTTCCCGACGAGTTAGTTTGCTGCAGTCTTTATCACTAAAAAACTACCTTAAATTATTAGGTAGAGTTTTGCTTTTCACTAATTTAAACTTTCTTGTTTACAAAATTCAGCATTAGATAGCATTAATGAAGTTTGCTATCTGATGGCTAGTAGCGGAATCATTATCTACGGAACTCATTTCGTCTTATTTTGGATCGGCCAACAGGATGTAACTGCACTCCTCAATGAGTGATTCTGCTCCTACTAAGGCTCGAACCCAGTACCGATCGTTCCAAACGCCAGAGCGTTATTCACCAGAATACTTAGGTCCCGAGAGCCTCATTTTATGCAAAGGATGTCAGTCATTATTTATTTTTAATTCAATTTTGATTTTCCCGACGATTAATCAATGGAATAGCTTCAGCAAACTGAAGGTGACTTGCGCTGTTTTGTTTGTTAATTATTTTGAATGTTACTACTGTGTCAACTTGGAATTTTGTGTCTGTCAGATGTTTGTTCCTTAACAAATCCCTTCAATCAATGACTATTTGGTGCAAGTTCGAAGAATCCTACATAGGCTCTTCTTTCATTCCTTCAATGTAACTCCTCCCACAGTTACACATGAACTGATATACACAGTTGGAGGTAACACTTGAGGAGTGGTTGTTGATTTTTGACTGTGCCAACTAGAAGGATGCTCGGAGTTAGGAGACAAGTTTTACTGACGTATGTGTCCTGGTCAGCGCTGTATTTAAACATTTATCTATTATTCGCATAATATTACCACCCTTGAAGTTGGTTTATTGCTGATGTCCTAAGCATACTGTCAGTTCGCGGAGTTGGAATGCTAAACAATAACTACGAAAACAAAACAAGCTCACTTTATCATTTATTACGCTGATCATAAGAAGAATAGCACTATATAACTAGTGTTGTAATTATAAGCATGAAGATGAGGAGTCAGTTATTTGATTTCGTGAAGAATATAAACATAGATAAGGGACACATACTCATGACTTATAAGAAATACTCTCACCTAGTATCGAATTATATTTTTATAACTGTATGTCTTGAGGATAACTTGATAATATGAACATACACGTAAGCTGACTTTCATGTTCAGTTAGTTACAATTTTTCCGTCATTCATTCTGACTTGTCGGGTAAGCATTTGTATACTAGTTTTAGTAAAATATTCTTAATATTTGTTTATCTAACTCGAATTCAATTTCAATTTCTTTCCATGTTTTCGCTTTAATTTAGTTTGAAATTCAAGAAAAAGAAGAATGGTTGGCCGATATTAAAAATCTTATCAAGTCATTTTATAAAACAGTTGTAGTCGGTGGATTTAGTGAACGTTTGAAAACAATAACAACTAGTTGTTTCATTCATCATATGGAATTACGATCAAAACAGCTAGTAAGCCGTCTGTCTTTATTAATCAAATATATAATATAATAATTTCAGCCGAATACTTATTTAGACTTATATAATTTCACTCGATATTAAAGAAAAGCATTTTGAATGCGTTTTAGGATACTGTTTCACCTGTTGCTCAGATGGTTTTCAGCATTCTGATGGATATACTCCTGTGATAGACTTGATAAACTGTTATAAAACTAGTTACTCCGATAGACTAGTAAATACAGCTAATGTTTAAATGATAAGTAAAGGAGAATACTAAAATGTTTCCAATAATACACCCTACTTTTGTTGTATTTCCTTAATCTTAGAGGAATGACTGAATAGTAATTATACTATATCGAAGATGCAATATTTTGCTTTATATAGATAAAAAGTAAATGAATGTCAACTAATTGAAAACGTTTATCATTCAGAATGCCTCAAATTTTAAGGGCGAAAGATACGCATGGCATCTATGATCGTGTACTATACATAAAAATTATCGTGTTATAGATCAGTTTATATCTTGCAATACAGTAGAGATGTTATATAGATTTGTCATAAATTTTGTCTGAGACTCATTCAAACTGACGTGAGACTTGAAGTTATCCATTTTTTCACACTGGCATTTGTTTACAAAAGGTTAACTTAATAAATTAATTTTAATAAACTTTGAGATGTTTTTTCTATTACCAAAAAGCCAATGAAATGTTACTGTATTTCTTTTTAAGACGAATAAGAAGAATCGTTAGTTAATAGGAATTAACCTGAATTTCTCTACCTTTTGTTGTCATATATTTGCAGTTTAAACTAGGTGTCCAGTTCAGTAAAAGCTCAGCACGTTGGTAGACTTTGTGCAAAGTGATAGGAGCGTCGATGTTTTTTCCAATAAACCTTTTAACAAATCTTGATCCGCTAATGTAGTAAGAAGTAAGGGAATAAAATGTGTAGAGCATTGTTAGACTTTTTTTGATGTGGTTTTGTTCTCTGAGCTCTCTCTCTCAAACTAACTATCCAGCTCAGAGAACAAAACCACATCAAAATTATCCACCTGAGCTACAAATCTTCTCTATCATATTGTTAGACTTTTTATAAAACTACACGGACTCATGTTTTTTTTTCTAAATGTCTTTAGGTATTTCCAGGCTCTTCTAGAAAGACATTTTTTACTCACTTCAAATCCTTTTCAAATCTCTAATCTACAGGTACAATAACGATTACCTAGAATCTTCCGAATGGGTCAACTGTCTTAGCGATCCTTATGCTTTTAGACTACATTGTTGCTCAGTATGATCCATTTTTTGTAGAGTACATTATTATTCTCTATAAAATAATGAAATACACTTTATTATTTTAAAAATTGACATATTGTAGCGGAAACTGATCTCATAATAAGTAGAGCCAACCTTATAGAATGGTTTACCTCTGTCCTCCATTTTTATTCGAAACATAAAAAGTAGCACAGATGATGTGACTAGCTTGTTTGGTTCATTTATGTTTCAGAGTAAAACCAGCACTAAACTCTGACCATTTTATTTTAAATTTTTAAAGCTAAACCTCAATGAGATCAGCCAGTTTCTTTTGAAGGGTTTTCTAGCAGCATGTTACTTTAATAAAACATGGATTTTTCGGAGACTTTTTGTATTCCTGGATACCACTTATGTGTTCTGTAATTCATTTGCTAATATAATTACAGTAACTTTGCTTCTTTACCTTGTAGCGGTAAATAGTTCCCCAAAATTATTGACCACAGCAATCACTCATTGGATGCTGACCACCACTGTTTAAGTCGACTTGTTTAGCTGAAGGCTTCCGGTCAAGCATCCCCACCATTTGGTACCCCGCCGTGTCACGTGCACGATCACTAGCTGGCTAGGCGTTCGTCTGAAGGCTTGTTTCGGTCCCGAAATATATCACTTAGTTTGGACGATCAAATATCGGCTTTTGCTTTGTCTTTGGTACGCGAGAATAAATTAATTAGAAGTTGCTGAACGAGATATCCGTCAACCTCAACATTTGTGAACGATTCCCTGAAACACAACGATGCAAAGTTTATCTGGGATTTATACGGAAGAGAAATGTGACTTACTCACTATCTCAGTAACCATGGTGATTGGTAGCATAGAGACATTTTTAAAGTTATCATGCAGGTACTATGTTTTCTCATAATTTGAAATTCGTTTAGCTGAAATAGTCATTATAAAGAGAGAAATCAGTGGTGATCGAGTTGTTAGTCAACCTTTAGGATAAACCAATAAGAAACATTTGGCTTCTAGTTATGAATACAAAACAATAATATTGGGAAAATAACCTCTTAGTCTTCTCCTCTCTGCTGAGTAGTCTGCTGTCCGATAGAATTTCTGAATTTTCGCTAATAATACCGTCCACGGTAAAAACTAAGTATGAAGAGACTTTTTGTTCAAGTAAATTTTTGAGTCCATTAGAAACAATGAAAAATATCTGCAAGTCAGTTAATCATGGTAGTGTCAACTTTACCTTCAAAAATTTGAACATACTTTCGAGACTGGGCGGCTATTAAACACCAAATCGAATTTATGATGTATTTCCTATAAGATTATTAATATTCTGACCACAGATAATGCGAATCTCCTGAAATAATTTGAGAACTGAGTCAGGTTAAATAATTATAAAATCACTTGAAACAGAAAATCAAAACAAGACTTTTCAGAACGTTTCACTGCATAGGCCACAGCTTCTTCATCAGAATTGCCGGGATTTTATTAGTCATCCGATTTGTAGTTAAACTGCACATGATCTGTAACAAACATATCTGAAGATCATTTGGTCTAAGTTAATTTTGCTTTCCCGTTAATTGACTGCATGGAAATCTTCGGCTTCTGTTGGCTCCTAGTACAAATTTTTTGATGATGTCTGAGGATTAACATGGAGTTATCTGGTGGATGGTGACTATCAGTGGAACTCAGGATGTACTTTTCGTCCTACCTGGGACTCGTCATCTGGATCTACTCGAAATCCCCAGTGAATGATGGTATTTCCACTGAGATTTTAACCCAGAGCTTAACTCCATTATGGATAAGATTTTATTTTGATAAGTCATACAGTAATATTAACTGATGACGCTTCGAGAACAAATTATTGCTCTTAATCATATTAAGGTACTCGCATAACTTTTTCTTTCATTTATATACATGTATATATAGCAAATCTAGCTCTGCTTTCCCATTTATCTCATTCAATGTGGTTAATATATGTAAGGCTTCAGAGGTTAACCCTTCTTTATGTAAAATAAAGCCTTTTCATTGTGTTTTCACACTGTCAATCCACATTCATATAGCTGGTCTTTTTTCCACACTCTTCATTTCTGTTTCACTTCTATGCAGAGGTTTCGTACATAATCTATGTTTATTCATTCTGATCTTCATCTGTCTATAGCATTCACCTATATGGCAACCCTCACATTCCAAACATTATGTCCCATCGATCCAGTTGTTCCATGCTAGTTTAGGAAATAAATCTTTACATTAAACCTCTCTATAAAGAATTAGGGGGCTTGAAATAGATTTTAAGACCATATGAAGCAAATATCCTGTAAAGTTGTTCTACCATGTGTTCTCAATGTGGAATGACTATAGTCGACACCCAAGATTTTTTAATATTCTCCTTTTTCTTCCTGTCACTTCGACTGAAAACGTTGTTCAGAAACTTTTCTTGCTGATTATTTTCTTTTTAAATATTTTAGCTTGACAAATAAAATCATTTAGTGCTTTTCTCTCTAAGGCTTTCGTATACAGATTATCGACAATTGGAGATGCCGATAACATTACAACTCTGTTTGTCTGACAATTTTATTATTAATGCCTTGGTTTGCGGGTGGAACATATAGCTTACACTACACAACCCTCTCTCATCCTGTTTCATTTGGTTATTCTTAGTTGGCTCTATGATTTCTCATAAGCTTTCGACTACTCCTCACACCATTTTGATGCATGTCATCTACAGACCGACGCCCACCTCGTCCTTTCCCCTTCGGGTCCTATACAAGAGCATGGCACGTGGTGTCACTCTATGGTCTCCCTTGTGTGTGTCCAATCCACCTCCATTTTCTTCGGCATATCTGTCGGGCAATAGGTTCCTTAAACAGTATAGTTTATCTTTAAAAGTAAAATATGTGAATTCCAAACAAAGTTTTGAACAGTGTTAATAAACATTTAGCTAATATTCCTTGGTTGTTTCCCAGTTCACAGTAATATCAAGTGACTCAAACATATTTTTATTGTTTCCTTGAGTTCCGATTCGAACATACAGCTTCGACAACACATCTTCATTTTCTTCTATTCCCTGCCATCCTCTTTAGCTGGATTCACGATGTACCATAATCTCTCATCTCCTCTTCTCACCATTTCCTTCATGTCACTCTCTCACTGACGATACACTCGTCGCTTCCCATTTGGATTCCACTCGAGTGATGGCCTACATTACGTGTGATGTCATTCGACGGCCTCCTTAACCTTTGTCCGATCAATGCATCCCCATTTTCTCCTAAATATTTGTTGAGCGATCGGCTCTCGCCTGTTGTTGGTTTGTTCCCAGACAGTGTTTCTTGTTACTGATTCTCTCTGGCCAGCCGGCTGGTCATTTGATTTCAGTATGGAGCCAGGCAGCGAAGTGGGCAGCTGTTGATAAAAGTCTGCAGTTGGCTGTTGGAAATGCTTTTCGTGACACGCTGGCCAAGTTTGTGATCTGTATAGAAGCACTGACCAACTTGACATTTGTGTTGAAAATTCGAATCTTGTTCCTTATGTTGGCTGAGTGTAGAAGATTTCCAAACTGGTTTCAGGTTGATGAAGGCGTATCTCGCCTTCCCGATTCAGGCCTACCTCCACAGCTTCATCCGTTCGGAATGCCTGTAGTTGAAACTATGCTTCCTAGATAAGTGAAGGCAGGAAGTAACGTCTGTCAAATCTCTCCCGTTGATGGTGAGTGGTTGTTGTTTTTTGGTTAAAGCGTGATTCCACACCATAGTTTAGATACAGTTATGGAATTTTCGGCATGTGATATCGGTAGCCCAAATTTTGCAGGCCGACCATTGATATCGGGTGTGCGTAGGCAGAGGGTCGAACTCTGAACCATTTTCATGGGCGGCGAGAGTCCTAACTGCTGTGCCATCGATGCCGTTGCGGTTCGTTGGTTATCTTCATCATCTCCGTCTTCTCTTTGTTCACCTGCAGTCCTGTCTTCATTGCCAGCCTCCTCTGACAGTTTGCTGGTTTCCACCTGCAAGTCTTCGAGTTCGTGTGACTTTAGACATATATCATCAACGAAATCCAGATCTTCTAGAGTTTTCTTATCGATGGTTCAACGTATTCTTGACGCCTTGCTTCCCACTGTCTGACACATAATCTAGTCCACCACAATTCAGCATATGATAATCGGTTATATTAGACAGCCAGACTTATCGTACTGCTGTATGCACTTCGAACACCTCGCTGATTTTTCCGTTGTGGATCACTTGACATGTGATAGGCATAGTCATATAGCCAGCTGTTGGATAAGATCGATAAAGACTTGGGGACTGCACGCCGTGGTGTTGAAGTAGTTTCCAAATTACGTGTCGATCAACGTTGTCAAAGGCCTTTTTGAAGTCGATGAAAGAAGCTGAGGTGGAGAGAGGTTTGACTGCCATTGTATGCTTTGTTCTGTGATGGCGGTGAGTGGAGTTGCAATTTGATCAGGACATGATTTGTCTCTCCTGAATCCAGCTTGTTCCGGGTTAGCGGAATTCTGTATCCAGTGCATCCTTTATTCTATCCGGGATGATGCGACTTAGTATTTTACTTGGCGTGGACAAGAGCATGATTCCACGCCAGTTCTTGCAGAGTGAGGCGTAAGTCTCCCTTTTTTGGCAGCTTGGCAAGATAGCCAGCCTTTCTCTCAGTCGATAGATACCACTCCTCCATTCCAAACCTTTTTCAGTGCTTCGAGGGCAATTCCGTCTGGTCCTGCTGCCTTCCCAGCCGGTGTTCAGTATCTTGATCACATTCAGGATTTCTGCTTTCGTCGGAGGATTGTTGTTCACTGTCAGTTCTCTGCCAGTAATATCCATCAGTTCTTTTTACCTTCATCAGTGTTTTTAATGTCAGAAGAAATACTGTACTGAAGTAGTCTCAATATTCTGGACATGCATTTTGGTGAACTGCCTGTTGCTGGATTCGCAAAATCAACAGTTCCCCCAGAGGAGCATCACTTTTGTGGGTTTTCAGTCTTCCATAGAATCTGGCTGCCGAGTTAATTTCAGAAGCTCCTGATATCAAGCTAGATTTCTTAGTTTGGATTTCTTTTGTATAAGTACATCACATGTCTCCGCTCATATTTTATTCACAGTGATAGACATATTATTGATCGGTGCTAGCACGTATAAACCTAACTCAGTATGTTCTAAAGCTTTTCTGTCATAATCGTCTCTGTTGGGAATAACAGTGACATTACATTTGTGTTCAACGCAAATTACAAATGAACGTTTATAAGAAAAAGATTTCGAACCAAATTATCATGTAATTTATGTGTTGAAAATAACTTTTATCACATTTTGTTGATTGCATCTTAGAATACATCACTCTTAAGAGCTCTTTCAAGGAATGCAGAGTTGCGATTCTTTCTCAAACAAAAGCTTCATAAACACCATGTCACAAGAAACTGGAATGAACCATTTAGTTTGGTGGCATACAGTCATATTGCGTGTGAGCATAGAGATTCTGAAGAGATATATAGTAAAGTCCTTATAGAAGCAAAGCAAAAGCGATACTATCTTTCAAAGTTGATGGTTACTGTAAACCAAATAAAGGTGAGCTATTTTTTATTGAGTTTTATGATCACTATAGTATTAGTTCACATGTAATTAAAGAAAATTTTAGTAAAAGTCTTTCAGTCTATAAAAATCTTATCTGAAGGTTTACTTTATAAAACGGTTGTTCAGATATAAAGCTTTGAATTCTGATGTTATTTTAGGCATAATAACTACCAGTGGAATCCAGAATGCTGATTTCTTTTATTTTAAGTTTTGTCAGCTAAGTGTATTTTCATCCTAGGTAGTGATAGTGTTTCCATGATGAATAGACGACGATTAGTGACTCTCTTATTCACTTCAATAATAACATGTACAACTAAAGAACCACAAACAGAATGAAGTGCAGGTCGTGAGTTCCAATGTACATTTTATTTCTCACAAAAGACTACACATCAATTTCCTGGTTTACTGAACCAGGTCATTCAGGTATTCATTATATATTCAGAAATGAAGGTGAATACTTTATTGTCCAAGACCTGGGAAAAACTGTTATTTTTAACTCTACAACTACTCAAAGTCATATCAATTATATATCTGTTTGAAAGAAGAACAAGATTTTCAGTACAAAGTATACATACTTCATTTCAAGGAGTAAATTCAGCTTCATAAAACCTAAATCATACATAGGTTTGACGAAATAACTAATGTTCCTAGTCCCTTTCGAAATCAACTCCCTGATATGGAATCGAATAAGATCACAGAGTAGCTATTTTGTGACTGCATTCAACATTATCAATAAGCGAGGAAATCCGAATTTCCTTAGGTCTACTAAATCTGTTGGTATCAAGCGAGTTTTAGCCAACTTAAGTATACTAAAAGCAAAGGTTGAAATAATTATTGCACCAGGTTCATAATTACATATTCTGTTTTGTGATATCATTATTATTATCTTATGCCCTGACTTAAACTGACTCACTTCACTTTCAATCCCTACTAAACCGTGTATTTTCTTTTATTCCTTCACGTTCCCAGTGGAGCATAGGGCCTCAAGCTAGAAGCTTCAAGTTTCTGTAGCAGCGTTTATTTTTACAGGATGGGATTGCTAGCCTCATGCCAAACCTTTCTTCTTTGCCAATACTATTATTGGCTTAGTGAGGTAAAGAAGTGCAACAGCTGCGGATCGAACCCCGGACCATGTGCATGGTCGGTGAGCGTCCTAACTGCTGTGCCACCGACGCAGAAACCACGTATATTATTGTTTAAATTCTTCATGTATGTTGCTAGGCGACTACTGTTTTGTTGTAAGCCACTTACAGGAACTTCATAAATTTTCTCTCAAACTTATTATAAACAGCCAGTTTCTTTTCATGTAAGTTGCAGTGTTTATGCCACCACATAACATCCTATGTTGTTTCGTTATACTACTGCCTTCATGTTTATCTTCTGCGCAGTAAAAAAAAATGTATGTCCCTATTTGATTAATTTCATATATATATATATATATATATATAATTTAGGCTATCTGAAGCTGAAGAGAGGGTAGAAACAAAATGCATGCATTATATGGTGCGAATGGGTAATTATGTTTTTCTCTCGTTATGACTAAAATGATCAGCGTAATACGCTGTAAGTGCTATACTAATTAGTTAGCACTCAGTGGTCCGGAACAGAATTTTCCTGTATCAAGTTACAAAATCTTTTATTGCTTCAGGACTAATGATACCACACAGCCATTCATGGTAAATTAGGTGAAGTGGTATTACAACCCGAGACCCACTGTCTGAAAGTTGAATGCCTAAGTTAGTGAACTACGTATCCCCACTAAATGAATGCCTTAGCACAGTGTACCGACTGCTTTGTCCGGTAGCAGTTCAGATATTCACGTTCGAAAGAAGTGTATGCTTTTCATAAACACAGTATGACTACTGCTGATCAAAATGCATGTGTTACTTAATAAAATCATATCGATCGTTCAGGAATAAAAACGCTCCAGTCTGAAAATTACATCACACTTTGTCTTAAAGAGGGGAGAAACGATATCACATTGATAAACATTATTTTATTTGTTATCTAATATTATAACGTTTGCAGGCAGTTAAGATATACTCATTATGTAATAAAGGACACTAGAGAATTGCACTTTCTGTAGATTTTTATAATTTGATGTTCTGTAACAATAAAAAAGGGATTTAAGATAAATTCTAATGTGTTGCACTAAATGTTTGCCCCAGTCCAATTCTTGAATTTGGGGTTCTTCGAAGTCTGGTTGAATTATAGGTAGGTTGTGAAACGAAGGAACATTAACTGGAAAATTGGCATTAAACAACAAAAGATTTATATAGCTGTTTCCTGCAAGTTTAGAGTGCTCTCGACACCTAATATGATTCAAGTCATTCTTAAGGAGTCTCTTCGCTTGGTCCTATAAAAAATAATGTAATTTATTCGAACGGTAAACAGAAGTCTAACCCGTTTGTCTCGTTGTTGACCAAAACATTGGACGAAACCCTTCCCTTAATTGTATTCCTAGGCTCACCTGAACGAAGAGCTTAAGCTAAGGAGTGAACTTCACAGGAAGATCAAAGAAAACTTTTTCACCTCACGAGATATTCGAAGTACAATGAAAGTGGTGAACCAGGTAAGGCATTTTGTGTTCGTATAAGATGCTGTGTTTTATTCAAAGTTGAATTATTCCATGTTACGTACTAAGTTTTCAAAACAAAATATTCCTTTTTGGTGTAGATAGATAGTGTTGTAATTTAGCATTTACCAATACAGTTATAACATTGCAGTGATATACACAGCTTTTGGTCATATTTTATAAGTTCTATACTATGAAGTATTTGCACAGTTACACCGAAATACGAGCAGGCTGTTATGGTGAATTCTATCTCATGACTGACAAGCGATGAAAAGAAATAATGGCGCCTTAAATAAACAGTTAGCAGGGTGAAACCAAACTATTTTAAGAATTTGAACAATGCACGAGAATTAAAATGTACCAAAGATTAAATTACTGTTATTCATTTCCCATGTTTCAAGTGGAGCATATGATTTATGACCACATATTAATTGCTCTAGGTTGTTTTTTCCTTCAGTTGGCTGACCACGAGCCTTAATTTCCTACTCATGCGATCCTCTCCATGTCAACGTTGGATGCCCGATCCGTCCAATGCCATATGTGTTTTACTACAGAGTCTAGCATGTTACACCACTCAGTGGTCTCGTGGCAAAGTTCTACTTTTAAGTACCAACAGTAGATAAGGACGGACGGGACACTAAAAGTCCCGACCACATGAAAGAGGCGCGAAAGAGGTGTATTCATGAAAATAATGAACTATACGGCATAAAACAGCTACACAAAACACGTTTCTCTGCCTTGTAACAAAAATACATATCAGTTTCGGATTCAATTGTCAAAACAGTAATTTAACCCCATTCTATGAATGTAATTATCTAAGTCTCCCAACCCTTAAAATTGCTCTAATCTTTCGTTAACCTAACCCTAACTTGAACCTATCCCCAAACTAATTCGAATCTACACTAATGTCGCCCTCGTAAGATCCACCTAATCCTATAGATATATGTGTAAACCTTGGGCACTGTGATAGTAAGTAATTCCATCTTTGTTTATTAGATATACCACACAGTGAAATAATATTATTTACTGTATGACGTTTCGAACACAATTTATTGTTCATAATCATACCTGTTATAATCACACAACTTCGAAACTTGAGTTTTATAGTCTTCTTTGTTCTCTCCTATTTGTCGTCGTTGGGGTAGTAGAATTTTCCAGATATCATGGACAGGTGTTGAATCATTCTTACAGAAATAAGTGTATTACAAAAAGGACTAAAATTCAACGTAGCGGTAGACAAGCTGAAACTTGAGGAGGAGGAAGGAAGATGGGAAGTTAAACACTAGTGTTTACAGGAAACCCACACATTGAAACAGATATTTGAACTTCCGATCATCCCATCCTATATCAGTGAAAATAGGATTTCTGAAATGTTTAAGTAATAGGGCACAAAAACTAAGTAGTACCAAGGAAGTAAAGCAAATAAGAGAAGCTTTGAAACTTAATAATTACTCTGATAAATTAATCAGGAAGTATGTAGGAAAATGTAAAGTAAAATAAATGATAGCACTAGTGATAATAATAATAATAATATTGATGTCTACATGCATGTCACACATGCCCAAGATAATGACAACACCACCAATAACGAATCTAAATCAGCAGTAGTAATCCGGTACGAGGAAGGAACCTTGGAAACCTTGCGGAGAACCCTTAACAATTCAGGAATAAAAGTGGCTGGCATTCAAACCTACAAACTCAATTAGAAGCAAGCTTTGTCGGTTAAAGGATCCTGTGGAGCCTTTAAAACAAAACAATTTAGTTTATCTAATACCCTGCCTGGAATAATTGTCAGGTCAAATACATAGGTCAAACTAGTAGAACAGGTCCAGTCAGAATGGCGGAGCATAGAAACCTATCAAAATCTAGATAAGTTGACCCGAATAAGATAAGAAATCTAGAGAGTAGTTCAGCTATAGCATTACATACAATTACACACAACCATACAATAGGATGGGATAAGATGACAGCTGTAAAATCTAATGTGACAGGGTGGAGGGAGAGATTGATAACAGAAGCTTTGTTTATCAAATCAACTGCAAATACGTGTAGTAGGAATGATTCAACACCTGTCCATGATATCTGGAAAATTCTACTACCCCAACGACGACAAATAGGAGAGAACAAAGAAGACTATAAAACTCAAGTTTCGAAGTTGTGTGATTATAACAGGTATGATTATGAACAATAAATTGTGTTCGAAACGTCATACAGTAAATAATATTATTTCACTGTGTGGTATATCTAATAAACCAAGATGTAATCACCTAACCCTAACCTGCCCTCTGCCTAATCTTTGACTTCATCGTTCACAGACCTAGTCTGAAACTTGCTAGATATCTCACTAAAAAATACAAAACCTCATTAAGCAGATTTTATTCACTATCACAATATAATTTACCAGGTCTTACTAACTCGCTCACTGAGCGTTTCTAGGTCATCGGTGCGGTCTCACTCCATTGCTTTCTGAAGGGTGCTTGAGGTTCAACTTGGCCCCTCTCACCGGCGTATATCCAATCATCTTCATTCCTTACTGCATATTTGTTGGGTAGTAGTTCTTTGGTCGGTTCGTTGCCAAAGTTCCTTGTTGTTCGGTTTTTCTGTCCGGCCAACTAATCTAAAGAATGTAGCTAATGAAGGTCCGTAGAAAATGCTTTTGCTGATGCGCTTGAGAAGTTTCAAAACTATATGAAAACAATGACTTGAAATTGGTGTCTAAAACTCGGATCTTGTTCCGTGTATTTGGCGCTGCAGGCCTCCTCATGGACTTCAGAGTTATGAACGCGTATCCTTCTATACCCATCAAATCCTGGCTGGCTTTGAGATCCCCATTGCCCGCCGACAGTTAAAAACATAATGCTCCCTTAAGTGAAAGGGAAGACATTCTGTAGGTTTCTCCTACAGAATCGATTGCTATTTTAGGCTTTGTTTGATGCTGATTCGCAGTATCGTAATTTGATACAGCATGAATAATTTTTTTCACGCCATTTCTTGAGGAGGCCTAACTAACCCTTCTTTGGTATTTTGACAAGATAGCCTTTCTTCCAATCAATAGGTAACTTTCCTTCCTTCTAAATTTTTTCACTAGTGGCGTTAGGACATCCTGGACCCGTTTTCAGTGTTTGAGGGGAGAAGAAATTCCCTCCTGTTCTGAAGCCCTCTCGAACTTCAGTAGCTTGACTGCACTTAAGACTTCTGTTTTCCCTGGTGGATTAGTGTCCATTGTCAGTTCCGTGGGTGCTTTTGGTGGCATCTCTGGACTAGTTGCAGGTGATGGTAGGTTCAGATGTCTTTTGAAATGATCACCCCTCTATTTTCTGTGTCTCTCCTCTTCTATAATTAGGTATCCTTGGCCATCTTTCACTGGTTTCATAAAGTATTCTGAGATCTATTACCTATGGCTTTTTCTGCTCCAGTCTCAAGCGTGTCGTAGAATTGTCTTTCTTAAAACACCTTTCATTTAATCTAATCCACAATGCTTAAGCTTTTTACTGATATTAATCCTTTTTATTCCCTTTTTCAATCCACTGTAGACTGAACTCAACTCCACCTTTTGCTGTCCATTTTTGCACTGATTCGTCTTCTGTTTCACATCCTCTATTAGCTTTCCCGTGTCCATTGATAGCCATACCTTTTCTTGCTTCTTCTTCCTTACTAAGACGGCTACACTGATTTCTGTCAAAACTGCTTTCAGAGTTCCAGTAATGTAGATTAGTATCTTTGATTTTACTCTGACGACTGTATTAATGGTTGTCTTTGTTGTTGTTACGTATCGTTAAATAATTGTAACTTTCATTTCGTTGTACAGAGTTTGGTTACGAGTTGGAAATGCACACTGTTAATGGAAGAAAATAATGAATACCCAAAAAGAAAATTCTTATTCAAATGAATTGATGCTTATGGACCAAAAACTGTCAAACAGTAGTTAAAAAATGATTGGTTCAGTAAGCTTTTGGCACAGTGCTTGTCTGAAAAATCAAGCAAATAGTTTCACACCATTCTTATAAATAGGGAGTGGTATTTTGTGGACTTTTAATTGCATACATTTTGAGTTGTAATAGGAGATATGAACATTATGTAGTCAGTCTTAATATCACATTAAACAGGTAGATATGCAAGGAAGAGTCAACTGGAAAAAGCGACGAGGAGTAGTCAGTGGGCTATCTGAATAAATTTCTTTTATTATGACAACTTCATAAATTCATTAAAGTCCTTTGTATTTCTTAGTAAAATGCCTTAAGAAGACAACAACCCAAGTAATTTCCGTTCATTTATGGAAAATCTTTTTATTGCAAAAATTGTTTATTCAGCCGTTTTTATTATTCTAGTTGACTTTTTCAGAGACTGATTATTTTAATTAAAAAAAACTTCAGTTTTGCATTAACGGTTAGGTATTATTTAGAATATAACTATCGGAGACCAATTTGAATTTTATTCGTACGGCAAAATGGACATTTCGGCGCATTTTGTTCTCTACAGGTCTGACTTTCGCTCTTGTCTTCATAATTTGTTTTACCTTTTGAAAGGATAACTGTAGACTCGATGATGAAAACCAACGAATGCAGATATTTATCAAGCAAAACAATATTCCATCAGTCAGTGAGCACATCAAATCTTACATCAATGCTCCTAGATCGCGACTTCTAAGAAGACAGTCTGTCACTGCAAGTGACTATCGAGTAAGTTCTACTGTTATACATGAGTGCTAGTTTATATTGTTTCTAACTTATTCAGAATGTATACTACTTGACTGTTTAGTACTCTAATACTTGAGCTTTTTCCTAATATATATATATATATATATATATATATATATATATATATATATTATTTGCTAGATTATAGTGTTATTATTTCGGCCTTCCAAATAATTCTTAATAAATCGGTTTAAATACAACGTTATGGCAAACTTAGTCTATTATATTCAATGAGCTGCTTATACAGTCACCGGAAAGGCGGAGGGTTACCTTAATTTTTTTGCAATGTTTGAATCATATTTAAGCGATCATAACGATCTCTTTAGAAAATGAATTGCAAAATTTGAGCTAGTTATATCGAAATTGCTATTTCTAAGGCATGAATTTGATCAAATCGTGATTTAGAAGTGTTGAGGAAAGTAAATGCCAACAGGCTATAAATATTTATTTCGCAGTTGACAAACGCGAGAGACACTGATACAGAATTACAAATGTAACTTTAGACAATATTATGGATACAACACAGTATAATACCAGCAATAGTAAAATCACAGAATTCTAACTTATCCGTTACCATCACAGTTAAAATTACACAACCGGGTTATATTCAAGTACCTAGTGATTAAACTTTGCTAATTTTCCTTATATTAAAATTTTGGAATACTTGACATGAAATCAAAATGTGTGAGGTAAGAGAATACAAAAGCAACATTGATGATCTGTGCTCAGCTACTCTAATTACGAAACCAATAGGGTGAACTAACAAAAATGTGGATAAACAATTATCACGAAAAGAAATGCTATTCATAGGTGTTTATATGTCTCCTTATCACAATCCCAACCAGATTTCTTTGGTGATACTCATATGTGACTTCTAAAAATACGAGTATCTGACAGTCTTATGTTGATAACTGCACGGTAGAACATTAACTATGAGGACTATCATATATCTCCAAATATTTGTCACAGTCTCACTTTATGAGATCTACAGCCTCTTTCCAAAATTATCAAAGACAAACATTTTGATTGAACACTAATTAGCGTCATGCGTCTAGTCCTTTGTTTGCTGCAGACTGAATTCTGTCAGTCAAGTCTGCAATGTGGCTAGCATGCTAGGTGCCTCTCCATCTCTGTGCATTCAGAATTATAGTTATTAAGGTGATTGGATGCGATCGACAGGAAACCTTGAACTAGCGTTTCGTGCTTGTTGGCAAGACTTATCTGCAATCGTGAAGGAACTCATGCCCCTGATGAGGTTTGAACCCATGCCATCCAGTTCTGCACTCAGTGGTAACATCTCTAACCGCAGCACTGGGTTCGAATGTCACCAGGAGTATGAGTTCCTTCACGATTGCAGATACACCTTGCTGACAAGTGCCGACAAGCACGAAATGCTAGTCCAAGGTTTCCTGTCGATCTCCTCCGACCACCTAATAAAGCCAGACATCTTCGAAGAACGAGTATTCTGCAAAAGCAGTCAATTGTCCTCTTTTGATTACTATTTTGGTGATTCCCTTGCATTTTTGCACACGACCTGCCCAACATTTTACCAGCATTGGAGGATATTACAAGAATTACACGTATACAAATGGAAATAAACTAAAAACAATATCGTTTTGTTTTTCATTCATTGGGAAATACAAAAAAACCTTTATTATAACGGAAATAAACTAAGTTATTATAATAACGTCTGAACGCCATAGAAGCTACCTGAGGGTGACAAAGGATGACGACGAGTACGCATATATGCTAATGCAAGTAAATATCCCCTAACCCCGGATGCACTTGTACGACAGAACTGTTTGAAGCCAATTCAGAACAAACTGATCTCTCAGAATACGAAAGATATTTCGAGGTCACAAAGGTAGGACAGTGATATTTGTCTAGATAACTAAAGAGGGTCCGCACAAATAACTGAGCGTAACATAAAAGTGTGCGAAAATAGCTAGGGTGCTTGATCATGTATCTTCAACGTAACCAATCGAGTTAGATAGCTATTGTCAGTACGCAGTGCTGAATGATGAAAGCTGATAATTTCGGGAAATTATACACCCTTGCATTACCACCCTAATCGAAAGCCAAACTTTTCGTACAGCTTTTGTTCTAATTCATGCAACTTGCAAATGTGCCGCAATTCTTAGTGAATTTACGGCTGAATATATTGTTAAGCCCAGTGACGAAACGTCCACGACCAAATACCACTGTCTGTCTGTTTTCGACATAGAACTTTGCACAAATGTGCGGAAGTTCAAGTCGCCACATTCCGTGTAGCACGCGAAGCAAGAGAAGAAAGTACAAGAAAAGCATAATAGAAACAGTGAGCAGAGGTGTGAGACAAAGGAGTAATAAAGAAATACAAAACAGTTTCATTGAAGATCATAAGTCACAGGGAGTGGATGCATCTGCGCCACTGAGAACGATTTTGAGCCATGTCACCAATTGTTTCCAACCATAGATTTTTACCGTCCCGAGGACCCCAGCCTGGAAGTCTACACCTTCCTACGTGGCTTAGACCAACTGTTGTGGATTTCATTGACTGATGCCAAGTTTTTGTTTGACCGCCGCTAGCTTTTTTCCAGCCTGACCCTATATCCGCTAACATTGCTCGTCGAGGGAGGCGATGGCTTGGCATACGTAACACATGTCCTAACCATCTCAGTCTTTGTAGCTTCACGACTTCGTCGATTGATTTCCCCTGTTTACCTAGAACTCTACGCCTAACCTCCATGTTGCTCACCTTATTATGCCACTTTACACGGGAAATAGAACGCAGGCACCTATGATCAAAGACAGCTAGTCTTTTCATGTCTTCCACTCTCAGTGGCCAGGTCTCACAACCATAAAGGAGGACGGAGCGGACTGATGAGCAGTACACCCGCCCTTTGGTCGATAGTCGAACATCTCGTCTACGCCAGAGTCGGCGTAAACTAACAAATGCGAAACGAGCCCCTTGTATTCGTGCTGAGATTTCGTCAGAGATCAACCCGTTGGGGCTGATGGTACTTCCCAAATAAGTGAAGCGGTCAACGTGCTCTACCACTTCACTTCCTATTTTTAAACTAGGCGTCGATGTAGTCCAGTCCTGTAACATCATCTTGCATTTGGCGGGAGCGAATCGCATGCCAAACATTCGTAGATTGCGGCTCAAGGTGTTTAGAAGACTCTGCATTTCGTCAGCGTCTTCGCCTAGAAGGACTATATCGTCTGCATATTCCAAGTCAACGAGATTATTCCCGGTAGCAAGTCAATCCCTGAGTCGCTGAAGTCACCTAGGGTTAAGTCCATTAACACATCTATGATGAAGTTGAATAGAAAAGGAGATAATGGGCATCCTTGACGGACACCACTGGTCGTCATCAGTTCAGATGACAGCTCGCCGTAAGCCCTCACCTGGCTGTATGAGTACGAGTAGAGTGCCTTAATCAGTGCAATATATTTTCTTGGAATTCCCTTTACAGCCAAGCATCTCCAGAGAACTTCCCGATCGACAGAGTCGAATGCTGCCTTTAGGTCAAGAAATATAATGACTGTTGGACGCCGGTAGGAATGCCTATGTTCTAGAATCTGTCGGAGGGTGAAGATATGATCAATACACCCTCTTCCTGGTCTAAAGCCTGCCTGGCTCTCTCGTGTTTGTGCTTCCCGAGCACCACTCAGTCTACGCATGATTATTGAGCCTAAGACTTTAGATACTATATTAGTCAAGCTAATCCCTCTGTGATTATCACAGGAAGACTTGTCTCCCTTCTTGTATATGGGGATAATCAGTGACTTACACCAACCCGATGGGACTTCTTCTGATTCCCAGACGCTGCCTAGTACCTCAGTTAATCCGGACAGTAAGCTGTCTCCACCGTACTTAAATACCTCTGGAGTCATTCCATCAGGTCCCGCTGCTTTGCCTAGTTTCAGATTGGTGACAGCTTTAGTAACCTCAGTTAGTGACGGAGGACCTGTGTCTATATCCCATTCAGGGAGGTGTTGGATGCTCGGAAGGTTGAGCGTGGCTGTGGGCAAATTAAACTGCTCCTCATAATGCTCTTTCCAACGATCCAGTCGTCTATCCTGTGAGCTAATTATAGTGCCATTTTTTTCCGAGATTGTCTCACTAATGATTTGTCTTCTCCCACCCGTTTCCCTGATGAGTCCAAAGAGTTGCCTGGTGTTGCCTATCCTCAAAGCTTTCTCCATCTCTTTGGCTTTTGTCGCCCACCACTGTTCACGGTCCTTGCGGAGACTTTTCGTAAGTTTCCTCTTGTGCAGCTTTCGCTCCTCATTGAATTCGGAGCTCGCCGGAATAAGTCTTCTAGCATCTATCAGTTCGGATGAGGCGGTGGAGATCCAGTGGTTTTTACTCACCTTTGGGTTTACCTTATTCACAGCTTTTACAGCTGTATCTATGGCTGCCTGGATATTTTTCCAAGCTTCTTCAGGGTGAGCACAGCTGTCGAACACAGATATGTGTTTAGCTAGTTCTTCCTCAAATACGGATTTAGTTTCCTGATCGAGCTGGGGACGTGATGGTTTTACCGCCAGCTGTTTCCTACGTCCGTTCAGTCGTAAGCACACCCGAGCGCGGACCAGTGCATGGTCGGTATCTACGCACGTGTTCCAGAAGGAGCGACAATCTCCTACCGACCCACGCCAACGATAGCTTATTGCTATGTGGTCTATTTGTGTCCAGCGTTGGTTTGATGAAGGGGGTCTCCAAGTCAAACAGTGTCTCTCCTTGTGTTTAAAGTTAGTGCTTACAAGAAACAAATGATTATCAGAGCAGAACTGTAGGAGACGGTCACCGTTGTCGGTTCGCTGGCACGGAACTCCATAGGTGCCACCGACATCCTTCTCAGATTGACACAATTTCCCTACTTGAGCGTTAAAGTCACCAGCTAGAACGACTATGTCTGAGCGTTTAGCCTTTCACACCAAACTAGACAGCTTTTGGTAGAACTCATCCTTCGTTTCATCTGAACTGCAGTCAGTGGGGGCGTAGGCGGAGATTACGAAAAGGCATCGGCGAGTAGTGCAGTCCTTCCTCCTTCTTACTGATCCGTTCAGGCGGACAGCACACATTCGGCTATCTACCGGGATCCAGTCAAGCAATGTCTTTTCTGCCCTAGTACTCAAAGCTATCCCTACGCCAGCTAATCCTCGTGAACTAGCTGTGGCATCTCCTGACACCCTCAGGGTGAATTTTGCAGATTCAACCTGTTGGCCAGGTGGGGTTAGGTGAATAACCACACTTGGGTCTTGTATGCGTGTTTCTGAAACACAGCATACATCAATGGCTCGTGATGCCAGGGTCTTGGCTAGTGATGCTTGTTGTCCTATTTGGCAAAGTGTCCTAACATTAAGAGCTCCTATATGAAATTGGTGGCGCGGCTTTAAGAGGCTGTCGGTGGTGGTTTTTTGGCTTCCATCGTTTTTAGTGGACGCAGAGTGGAGAGGAAGTGGAGAGCTATCAAGTCGAGGAGTTGCATCAGTGGAAGGAAGGCAAGATGATAGAGATGAAGATGAAGACAAAGATGAGTGAGTAATAGAGAGGTTTCGTGTGCATTTCGGATTGTGAGGGCGATTGTTACTTCCCGGCTGCCCACACCGTGGAAGTTGGTTGCGTGACCGCAGAGCCCAGGGGACAACTGCTTGAGGCCGGTCACACGCGGCCTGTTTTTGTTTGTTCTTTTTGTTTGGTGTGTCTCAGTAGCATATTTATCACTCCTGCCCTGTGACACGGCAGCAGGAAGCGCGGTCGTTGTTAATCCGGGCCACGGCCGATCCGGCATGAAATTTTGTAATTTTGTATTGGACATGATGTTGGATTGGGTAGCTGCTTTTTGTTTAACCGCTATCCAAACAACCTGCCTGGCATGGTAGAACCTCAAGAGACATAAGTCTCAGCCAGTATAGCTTGATTAGGTCATTGCGGTGTTCAAGCCCGACCACCACGTCAAGGTAGCAGCTTTCGGTCGGGTACCACTGTGCGTCGGTGGCACAGTGGTTAGGACTCTCGCCGACCATGCACATGGTCCGAGGTTCGATCCCTGACCGACGCACACCTGATATCTATGGTCGGCCTGCAAAATTGGGGCTACCGATATCCATGCTGAAAATTCCATACTTGTACCAAAAATACAGTGTGGAACCAAGCTGTAAAACAAAATCAAATCAAGCTTCGAGGAGGTCAAACGAAATAATTCCCACTCTGAACTATAAATCTTTTCTTTCGTTTCATAGGTATTCTCATTTTACTTCGTAAAACATAGTGTGTTTTTAAAATTCAGTAGTTTCTCAAGATTTATGTATTTCTTAGTTTTCTGACTAAAGAGTGTACGATTATGTTTTTTTTTTAAATTAAATACTTGTAATCTAATTTTCCTCTGACTTTCGCAACGCAATTCTTTTCTTTTGTTACTTAATCATTTAATTTTCTTACCAGCTATCAGAATCATCTGTATTTGAGAGATATCGTGGATCAGAAACATTTTAACAAATCCTATAGAGCTCAAACAGCATCGGAAAAACATTTCAATCAGTAGACCAAAGCAATCAAGTTCATCCGATGTACTGAGAAGTTCGCAGTGACATATCAAATTTCCGATAACACGAAAACCACGTACACAAGTCTACATTTGCACCAGGATAAATAATATCCCCAAAAAGGAATCCAACAAGCGGTAAACAGTGTTAATTAAATGAATGAGTTCTTCTATCTACTCTCGACACGATCTAAGATAACACGTCCGATTAGTGTGAAGTACCAGAAAATCAACAGCAGTGTCCAGTAGAGCGAAAATATAAAGTCTTTAATTTTTCAGTAGATGAATTTCAAATTAAAGTAAAAGAAGTACTAACATTGTAATACGTATTTGTATACTAAAACTTTAAATTTAGATTACCTGTGGCAAAACATTTTGCGAAATCTAAATTGAATTAGAACAGATGCATATCCCTTTTAATGACGAAAGGGATAATTAATTACTTCAAAATCATTGAAGTTTCGAAATAATATAAATATATTATAAGAATTTGGATTGATTTTTCATGATCGAGATGAATAGTTTATTCATTTTTCCGAAGAAATTACCTGAAAATACGGTTCACTAAACACTTGGAGCTACATATGCAAAGTCATTATTCTGAGCAGCTAATTATTGTATACGATGATATGCAAACTAAACAGCTTTGATTTTCGTCTATTGATGTCTTCGATAACTGTGGCTAAAAGTGCCCAAATTTACGAAAAAAACTTCCGTAAAATTCCTGTATATTTGAAAGCCACATTGAACAAGGTAATGAAGGAATTTGGAGGATGGTAACTAGTAGTGGAATCCAAGATGCACATTTTGTCCTATTAGGGACTCGTCATCTGGATGCACCTGTATTTCCCAGTGAATAAAGGTGTTTCCACTGAAGCTCGAACCTAGTATGCAAAGAGTTATCCACTAGACAACCTGGGCCCAGACATCCATCCATTCACCTCACAGAGGCAACCCTTAATCACTAAACAATTATTATTTGAAAATGAAAACCCGTGTAAATTAAAAACAGAAGTCTTCATATGGACAAATCATTTATGATTTCTGCCACAGTTTTCTGCATAGACAAATGTTTATTCATCTACATACCTAGAGCACTACAGAGTTTACACCAGTTAGTGAACACCAAGCGCAGACAAAGGGAGATCACAACTTATCTTAGTAGTGGGAGTAAATCGCTTTGAAACTGAGCTGTTCAAGAAAAAGCTGAAAGAACAATATATTTTATTAGTCTTATAAGTACCAATAATAATTCTAATAAGCAAAATTGTATAGAATATTCATCTCAGTAGAAATGAAAACCAGAGTACTGAACCTCTATCAAAACTACTTAAGTGAGTATGCGTTGTACAAACATACCCATAGTGAGCTTCGATATTCGAACCGAATTAATTTCAATATAATCAATCAATATTATGAAGAATTTATTCATTTCTGCCATTTAGGTGTCGCTGGTTATCAAGTTAACTTCTTCATTTCATGTTACACAGACATATAGCATTACTTACTAAATGATACTTTGTGCTTGCATGCCATAGAGATAGCTGAGTCTTTTTCTAGGTTGATTAGTTTATTATGTTGTGTGCAGATATGATATCGAGCAGGTTGTTTTGCCTATTTGAGACTTAAGATCTACGTAGTTTATATCTAGGTAAGGTTGTAAACCATTCAAAATTATGCTACATGTAAAATAGTTCACTACAGAACGGCAAAGTGTATGACTGGCTGATTTTCAACATAGAGCGATAGTTCAAGTTCCACTTACCCCCGTTGCGTACAAAGGTAGGGAAAAGAAACTCGAAACAACTATGATCAACATAAAAGTATAGGAGAAAGAATAGTAACATGGAAAGACACTAGCATTGTATGGTTTCGGGAGATAACAAAGAGTGATACATCTGCGCCGTTCAAAAGGATTTTCAGCCATGTCATCAGTAGTCTCCAGTCATTGCTGCTTAAAACTACGAGGATCCCCAACCAGACAGCCTACATTTTCCTAGGTGGCTCAAACCAAAAATCAAAGACCTCATCAATTAATGCTACGTTTCGGTCCAACTACTCATTTGCTGCATAATTCCACGTCAGCTAATATTGCTTATTGAGCGAGGTGGTAGTTCCAGATTATCAAAACGTGTCCTAGTCATCTCAGCCGATGCAGTTTCATAACCTTACCTAACACTACGTCTAATTTCGGTATTATTCATCTTGTTATGCCACTTAACACGGGAGATAGGACGCAAACACCTGAAGTCAGAGACAGCTAAGGAACTAACTAGCTGTGCATATCAAAATAACGATTTATTCTAAATGCCCCACATTAAAACGTCTACGGTTTGCTGCTGAACTAATTAGAGCTGCACTTATATACACGTTAATGCTCCGAAAATTCACATGTAGTCAGCTAAGATATATCCAAACTTTAACCTGTTTTAAGTGGGATTGTCTATCAGTATTCGAAGAATTTCACACAGGTGAGTGATGACATTACCCTAACAGGTTTCTTGAAATCTCACGGTTTTTCATTCCATAAATAAGTTGCCAATTAGCTGATCATATGAATTCTTCTCCTCATAATGCTGCTTTTTGAAAAATAGCTAGTGTCGAAATTCCAAGAAACTGAATAAATTCTTTCAAGGAAATCTGAAGGATTTTTTCGGTCTTTTATGTGCAACAGATTGTAGAAAACACTTAAATGTTATTATTATTTCCACAAGATATATATATATACAACATGGGTGATATTGAAAAATAAATTTCCTCTTATTTACAAAATTACTGGAAGAAAGGGGGTTTTCGTTATTTTACAGGATTAGGATTGTTTGATAGGTCCACATCCTTTTCCGCGACGTGTTTTTACGCTAGTTGCTAAATTTAATCTTGCTTTACGTTTATTCGGTTGGTTAGATGATTGCACAGATGCAGAAGGATCGTCTACAATTGTTGAAGCACTTGACATTGAATCAATACACTTTAAATGTAAGAAAGTGTATAATTTCGTTGCACATTCACTAGAAATCAATAATAAAGGAATTTGAGTTAAAAATCAAATCAACAAAAGTAATAGTTAGTATTCAACAGATAGGGCTAAAAAGATAGTTTCAATAAACAATACAAATATGGACAGCTACCTGACTTCCTACCTTAAAGAGATCATCACTGACGAATACATGATTTCTGAGAGTTCTTTGTGGTTTCATGATGCCCACTGGTTCGTTCCGGTAGTTACAGAATACAACAGTCTAAGAAGGACTCTTGTGTACATAGTCAAACAACAGCTATAAAAGACTACAAGACCTGTTGGTTATAAACCGCGAGCGAGATAGTAGCAGGACATGTATTTAACAACAGTTGAAGGTTGCTCCGCCTCATCAGAAAGACAGGTAGTACGAAATTTGTGCACAGATCTGCAACCTTAAAAGACGCCTAGGACAAAAGTAAAGCATTTGGAAAACCGATTAGGTGACCTATAGTTTCAATATAATATGGAGTCGCTTATATGTCATAGATCTAATAAGATAGATATCAAGAGTAACTTCAAATATTGAAGCAACATAAGACATTTGGCTTAGACAAAGGCGAGAGTTTTGTCAAAAAAACTTAGTAGGTCATTGCAGAAAATATGACAGATTGAATATATTTCTCTTTTACCTTTTTTAAATGACTGCCTAAGTGTGATATCGTTTCTTAATATGTTCTTTGAGGCGTGTACTAGGTCAGCACTGTCTAGAAAGTGGAGTAATGACTCGTTTATACATGAGTTCTATAGTACGCTGAATATGTATCTTCATATCTTCAGTTCCTCTTCTAGAATCTGTGATTCAATAACCCGCTTTGTTATCATATTTGACTAAAAATCATTGCTGTTAATTAATCTTTAGTTCTCAACTTTACAAAGAAAGAAAGCGAAAAAGGTAAATGGGAGAGTCATTCATGACTTAAATGGCTTATTGGTAAGGTTACGTTTTCTGGTTCAAACACGCCGCACCAAACCACTAAGTCGTTTGCCGTAAGGTAATCAATATATATGGAAAAACGAAATCTTGAAATTCGCGAGGTGAAGAATAACCCCTTCATTACCATTCTTATAGCCTCACATTGATTTGGTTTATTTTATACCTTACAAAGAACTGTTAGGCATCTCAGAACTTTGGTTATCAAAATCACTAAATAAATCAGAGAAAAACTTAATTTGGCTATGAATATAATTCGACAAAATAACTCAGTGACTTATACTAAGTACAACCCCGTTTGTCGGAATCACTCAGGTTATAAAAGCTAAGTTTAAAATAATAATAATAAGTGACCTAGGGCAAAAAATATCAGCTACCGCTATACGAACACTAGCACAAAAACACAATAGAATAACAGTCATGCAGATTAGCACAGTCACGTGAATAGAGAGGGCGATCACCAAAGTCTCTTTTCATCGAAGCACCGTTTAAGCTTTGCAATATGAATTGTGCAGCACCAATGTTGTATAAATTATTAGAATTACAGAGAGTAACTGTGATAGGAGATAAAAGCCTGAGCACTATGATAAAACGCAAGAAGGCTACACGATCCAAATCAGGAAGCTGTCTAGTTATTTCGATAGGATTATAAATAATGAGTTATGCTTCAAAAGTTATTCAGTAAAGAGTGCTACATTACATATATGCAGAAGTACATTTTAATAGAATGTGTAAATTTTACTCTTAATTAAACAGTTTCAATCACAGTATGCAAAAATACGTGAAGATAAGAATTAGATGAGGTATTACAAACGGTCAATATTTATACATTACCAAAACTACTCACCTGCTATCCAAAATTTCGGTCAGCCTTTCTAAACTACAGGAGACTAAGTCGTAGAGTGAAGAAACATGATTCATGATGCGTCGATAATTTTTCCACGACACTCCAGGTAATTTTAGTAGCATATCAACAGCTTCAATATTATGATCCTCCAAATGGTCCCCATCCTGTTAAAGTAAAAATATTGTCCAAAGTGACTAACACAGATCAGAAGTCGGAAAAACTAAATGAACTACAATTCTTGATAGCTAGAATTAACCTAGCATCAGAAGTAATACCCATAAACATATTGAAATGAAACACTATTACCTGAGGAAGTTTTTCAACAGTTGGCTCCGGTCGACCGAGTTTGATTTCCGCAAACAGTTCCGCAGTGCAATAAGGAGTCATACTCCAAAATAATCGTAAATTGGGGAAGTGAATAGTTAGTAAAACAAGCTTCGACAAAAGGTGATGAGAATTAAATTCTGAACTTGGATTAATCGCATGTCGTCCAGTATACAAGGCGAAACCAATTGGTTCATTACTCCGGAATCCTCTTGTACTTCCATGACTTACACTTGAAACTGTATTAAAGTAGAATAATAAAACACTGAGCGATTCTGTCCATGGAGACAATAATAGTTACGCAGACGTGTTACAGAAAGGGTGTATGTGTTTAGGCGATTGGATGTGAGCTGAAACCATTTTTTCTATTCAGTATCATTTTATTTCTGTTCAATTTCTTCTTCTGTGCCGTTTGTGAAGTGCATGTATCTGTCAGATTCCACGTTGATATTTTTCTCTATCTTAAGCAACTGAAGCTACTCAATAAGAGGAGTATGACCTTGACACTGCGTCAATAGTTAAGCATTCAAAGTAAAGACACACTCGCCAGGGTTAATACAGAGCCATTAACTACCGATTTTGGCTTCATAAAGAGGGACGATGCACTAATTACTCCCTTTTACAATGCTGAATCAGTTAAAAAATCACTAATAACTTGATAAGACTAGTGATTCGTTTAAGGATAGTTCATTGGTATTATAAAAACTTTCTCAGTACTAGTTATTCACTTGTGTGATGGTGACTACATAATAACCATGGCCGATGGTAGAGAGTGGTCAGTCGTTACCAGTGAAACCAATAACTATCAATTAGAATTTCAGTCAACTTAGGGTCAACGTACAATCTAATCAGTGATTCACTAACTATTCAGGCATCTAACTTAATGAGAAAAAAAATTAGAGCTGGAGACACTTTGACTTATAATCTATATCTGAAAATTGATTCACTCTAGCACAGAAGTTCAAGTTTTTACAATGAGTGGAAACATAAACAAAAGGGCTAGTCGAAACGAGTCACGCGTCTGAATAATATGTCTTTAGAACCACTTGAATACGACAGATGGTAAAAACAGTTAGAGATGAGTCTTGATGAGAAGCTACGAACTGCAAAAGACTAAAGGTTCCATGATACTGATCATTTCGTAGTTCCACAGGTGATGTTAAGAGTTTCTTAAATAAACTAGCTAAATTTAGAATACCCATTGTTCTGAAACAGTAATTACCTTTGTTAGGCATGGAAAACTCAATAAGCAGGACTGGACTTGCATAATGGCGAGACATTGCAGTAGCTTGATGAAACAGTCGTCCAGAATTAAGAGAACCGATCAGATCACTGACAGACTTTCTTTCAACACATAAATGAGGAGAAAGGATATAATCAGCAATGCTCAAAGTCATAGGTTCCACCTAGGTTAGTTTATAAAAACAAGGAAATAAGAAATATGATAAGTTTAACATGCTTAAACAGACTATATCACACTGTGAACTTCTCAGCTATGTCCTCGACAGTCTCTAACCTGTGATTCCTACAGCATGCTGGGGGTCGCAGTAAGCCAAAATAGACTTTGGTAAGTGGTATAGACTAACAGACAGTTTTTTGAAGGATTAGTGCCATATTTTGATTTGACTACTAACACATTTATAGCTTTATTCTACATGGCATAAAATTGCCTAGCACAGAAAGCAGTGGTTCTGAATGAATAACGCATGTCCTAACCACCTCAGTTGATGACTCTTCATAACCTTATCGACTCACTTCCTATGCTTATTAAATACCTTACAAATAACCTCATTATTACTGACCATATTACTTCACCGAATACAAGCGACTGAGCTGAGGTATCTCTGGTCAAACACCGACAAGTTTTACATGTCTTTTACCTTCATCAGTCAAATCTCATGGCCGTAAAGTAGGACACCATGAATTGCTCGGTCTCAGGCTACATGTAGGTTTCTTGTGCAGATGCTTCAACGATTTCCGGTCCAATCAATCGACGAGAAAATCTAGAATTCAAGTGAATAATTAATTTAACCCGTTGCACAAGAGGTGGCTGTCGTGGCCCAAGTGGTCTAGTGGATAATCCTTTGGCGTTTGGAGTTATGAGCACTGGGTTCGAGCCTCGGTGGGAACATCATCACTCACTTCGGAATGCAGACACATCCAGTTAACGAGTCCCGAATAGGACGAAATGCGCATCCTCGATTCCACTGCTAGTCACCATCCACCAGTTACTTTCGAATTACATGCCCAGACATCGTCGAAGCATCTGCGCAAGCAACCGACATGTTAACTTGAGACCAAGCACTTCAGTCCAATCAATCGACGGGAAAATCTAAAATTCAATTGAATAACATTTCAGAATTGTTTTAACCCTTTCTTTTGTCTCTATAAAAGGCTTACTTTAGCTATTTTAGGTTACCCTATTTTCATGTAGATTTTTGTTGTGTTGTTATTTTATTGAATACCAGTTGCAAGTGTATGATTGTTACACTCAACAGTCCGTTTTGAGGAAGTTGTCACTTGCCTCTACATCTGAATTCACCTGGGGAATTCTGAATGAACGCAGGCGACAGCACGACCTCACGAAGAGTTTGTGTACGAAGTCATCGTTACACACAAGCTGTAAATAAGTAGTAGGCAGTTGAAGGTTAGCTACATGTTACACAAAGTATTCCCAGTTCCTTATACATTATTTTGGTAGACTCCTTTAAGACTGGATCACTGGTCCACCTACAGGAGAGTTTCATTTAATGTAATGTTTGTTTCTTTTAAGACTTCAGTACAATTTGTAATCGGAAATCTAATATGAACAAGTGTAAAGAGAGACTTATAACAGAATCTATATGCATTAAGGTCACGCAGGATGCAAAACTGTCAGCAACCTGAAATAAAATTCTGGATCTACAAAAACGAATGGATAAAAAGTGAAACATATATGAGTAAAAATCACAAAAGTTTGAATTTAAAAAAAAAACTAAACAATCCCAACAGTTAGTATGAACACGGGCAGTAATTTTGCTAGAAATATCACCAAAAAACAAAAGGTTATCATCGTATGTAAACTATTGAAATATAATTATAATTTATTTGATCTATTCCACAATCCCCAAACTTTTTACTAACATTCAGTCTGACTTCTTACTGTACTACTTGATTAATGTACGTATGTGGCTATCAGTTGGAATTTATTCAAACAGTCCATTTTGTTTCTCTCGGGATACAACACTGCATTTAGATCTGCAGAAATACGGATATTGATCATCGCTTTCCTAGGTATATGGAAGATGAATCAAATAAACCCTCTCTACCGCTTGGACAAGTTAAAGTAAATAGCAACACTTGTGTTTCCAAAAAACTTTTAAGAGGCTTAATATACAAATAACCAGTATACCCAATTTGTTAAGTGTGGTTTATCGAACTAATGTGTATGAGGTTTTTAAAGGCCAGTTATGATATTTTGTGAGACACCAGCTACGCGGATAAGAGGAGTTGGGTATAGAGTAAATATGTCGTTGAGAAGGAAATATGAATAAAACTTAGATGACGAGGAATACGGTTGAGTGATGGCGACAAGAGGTCACATTACTGCTATGTCGATGGCATGTTGGTAAGTGCTGTTTTCTAGTAGTTCTCTTAAAAAGGATTGGCTCAAAACTGTGATAATCCACTGACTATCCACAAGTCGTTTAGCTGAATTAACCCTATGCAACGGAATTCTTAACAGGATAAGCGAACTGTATAACAATAACTTTCCCTTTAAAACGTTTTCTTACTTTTATTCCTTTTCTGTGTAAAAGTGCCGGGAGTTCACTGCGAAACTCGCGCATATCTACAATCACACGGGGCACTATTTGACTATCATTTGAATCTGACTTTTCATTCATTCCATACGGTATTGTTGCATCTTTTGGTATAACAATAGTACTACTCAACTGAATTAGAGATTCGAATGCCTCCTTTTCCTATGAAACAAGAAATTGTAAAAATTTCATTAATATTGGCAAATATGAGATAGAGTTCTGGTAGATGCTAAAGCTCAATAAAAACACATCAGGACTTGAAAAAAAAGCCGAAAAGCTTTGAAAAGAGTTGCCATAGATGCTGACATCTTTAACAAACAATTGGTCACAAAATTGAATATATCTTGAGAAAGATTCACTTAATTAACACTTGTCACGAGATAAAATAATATTCATAGGAATAAACATATCTGAGAGTAAGAGGAACTTATAACTTTAGTATGTGTATAACTTGGACACTATGGTAGTATGCAATTCCTTTTTGTTCTGAATGATTGATTATTTCATCAATAACCTATCAGCAGTCATGTTAGATTTTACAAGAAATTATTTTCATGAATAGCTACACTTCAACAACATGAAACGACATATCAATCCATGATGATCACCTTCCGATGTAACAGTCATAAATCAGGAGTCACAATGTTTCTGTCTCTGCAACGATAATATACTGTATAAGTAAGTGAATATAATATGCTAACGATATTTCCCCATAGCTATGACATTAGATGACTGACTGCATCCCTACTGTACTAAAATGGATAATAACTGATTCGATGAGAAATTGGTGCATACATATTTCTCAGTAAATAAAGACAAAAAGAAATAATGTGTGACAAAAATATAGCTGAATTCGGTACTTTTATGTTCTGTGAGCTAGATAGCTGAGTTGTAACTAGTTAATCTTGTTCAGTAACAAACAGTGACCTTAGTTGCAGTCAATTTCACTTTAGCTGTAAAATGTACTTTGTTTAGTATGAAAAGAATTTGGACACATTGTTGAAGAATAATTACAACCAAAATCCTCTAAAATGGAATGAAATTTAGTTTCTCTACAAATGCAACGGTGAGACACATGTATTACCATTTTCTGATATATATATATATATATATATATATATATATATATATATGCACTGTTAACATGCATGATAGAACCTAGTACTATGAAAATCCTTGAATGTTATTATAAATATACTTCTATCCTATTCAAACTATTTAAGATCAACACTGGCTTAAGCACTTGGCTTTCCCCTAGAGGGCCACAGATCCTAATCTTACTTCACCTACTTCAACGCAGAAAACTAGCCAGTAGGTACCACTAGTCCTTACACAGTAAGCGGAGTTCATAGCCTGGCACACTAAAATTGTGACCTAAGTAATTGAGTTCTAACAACGTAACACACGAAACTACTAAACAGATATTTACACAATCATATCAGTACATAAATGAACTGGTAAACAACAGTGTAACAGAGTTGGAACCAAATAAAAAAAACTAACTTACTTTACGTAAACTGGTCAAATATCGTTGTTCTTCAACTGAATTTTCATATAACATAAAATGAACCGTTAATGGAGGCAAACTATTGTTATCTCCACAAATGTTATTTGAGGATTCTTGTTTTGAATAGTGGTGAACAGAACGACGTGCATTGTATACTTCCAACTCCCTAACCCAAGATACTCTAGGTTCATATAATACAACATGGTTAGGTTCAATTATGTCTAAAATATACGACAAGCGATAACCATATAGTTGGACAAGTAAACTTCCTTTTTCTTGATTATCTTTCGTAATTCCACAGAACTGACTATTTTCTTCACCTGATGATGTTGGCGCTACACGTATGATAACTTTCAGCGAGTTAGACTTCTTTACTTCGGATGAACCTAACAAACTTGGATGAACATTAACCTCATAACAACCTAGAGGCAGAGGGGTACTACATGCTTTCACAGTATCAACTATATTCTCTGAGGCTTCACTTTCATCAGATGAAGATGAACTGTCTTCATTACTTTCAGTATCTTTGTCACAAACTAAATCCGACTGAACGTTTTTATACATTTGCGTTAAAGTAGTTAAAGATTCACACGGCTTCGAGTGTTTCACCTTAGTTATCTGTTTTAAAATTGAAAAAAAAATTAAAATGATAACAATTAGGAATTATACTGTGGTGGTGTGATACAGACAGTGTGTTCTAACGGAATATGATTTTCACATATTACCACAGTCCAATACTGCTTTAGCAACAGAATACTATGCATATTTGAACATTCTGATTCATGCTTAAAGAATATATATATATATATATATATATAAACAGCGGTTTGATCAATGAAAAATATATCTTGGCTTCTGTATCTTGCCTTCCGTTACAATACCTAAGTTAGTACTACCGATGAAAATCCGCGTTTTCTCAGGATTTCAGAAACGCTTTCTGTCGCTTTAGTGTCAGCACCGAACGTGGAAACAAAACCTAACTCCGAACGCAAACTAACAAGAAGTTTTTGCAACGACCGTGAACAGTGGTGGGTGACAAAACCGAAAGAGATGTAAAAGTTATCAGCGATAGGCAATGTCTGTCTGTTTTCGACATAGAACTTTGCACAAATGTGCGGAAGTTCAAGTCGCCACACTCCGTGTAGCACGCGAAGCAAGAGAAGAAAGTACAAGAAAAGCATAATAGAGACAGTGAGCAGAGGTGTGAGACAAAGGAGCAATAAAGAAATACAAAACAGTTTCATTGAAGATCATAAGTCACAAGGAGTGGATGCATCTGCGCCAGTGAGAACGATTTTGAGCCATGTCACCAATTGTTTCCAACCATTGATTTTTACCGTCCCGAGGACCCCAGCCTGGAAGTCTACACCTTTCTACGTGGCTTAGACCAACTGTTGTGGATTTCATTGACTGGTGGGGCCAAGTTTTTGTTTGACCGCCGCTAGCTTTTTTCCAGCCTGACCCTATATCAGCAAACATTGCTCGTCGAGGGAGGCGATGGCTTGGCATACGCAACACATGTCCTAACCATCTCAGTCTTTGTAGCTTCACGACTTCGTCGATTGATTTCCCCTGTTTACCTAGCACTCGACGCCTAACTTCAATGTTGCTCACCTTATTATGCCACTTTACACGGGAAATAGAGCGCAGGCACCTATAATCAAAGACAGCTAGTCTTTTCATGTCTTCCACTCTCAGTGGCCAGGTCTCACAACCATAAAGGAGGACGGAGCGGACTGATGAGCAGTACACCCGCCCTTTGGTCGATAGTCGAACATCTCGTCTACGCCAGAGTCGGAGTAAACTGGCAAATGCGAAACGAGCCCCCTGCATTCGTGCTGAGATTTCGTCAGAGATCAACCCGTTGGCGCTGGCTGATGGTACTTCCCAAATAAGTGAAGTGGTCAACGTGCTCTACCACTTCACTTCCTATTTTTAAACTAGGCGTCGATGTAGTCCAGTCCTGTAACATCATCTTACATTTGGCGATAGGCAATACCAAACAACTACTTAGGCAAAAGGCAAATGATAAGTAAAACAAACTTCGAGAAAATGACACCATAATTAGCTCTCAGGACATACGACTGAAAAACTGGAAAGAACACTTTGAGGAGTAATCCAACTGGCTTACAGCTTTCCTCAGCTTATCGAGTACCCAACACCCCCTGAATGGGATATAAAAACAGGTCCCCCGTCCCAAACTGAGGTTACAAAAGCTGTCTCCAATCTGAAACCAAGCGAAGCAGTGGGACCTGATGGAATGACTCTAGAGGTGTTCAAGGACAGTAAAAACAGTCTACTGTCTGAGTAAACTTAGGTATAAGAAAACGTCCGGGAATCACAGATGGTCCTGTTGGGCTGGCGTAGGTCATTAATTATCCCGATATACAAGAAGACAAGTCTTCCTGTGATGAACACAGAGGGATTTAGCTTGACTATTATAGCATATAATGTTCTAGGATCAATAATATTGCGTAGACTAGGCGGTCCATGGGAGGAGAGATAACCATGGAGGCTTCACACCAGGAAGAGTGTGTATTGATCATATCTTCACCCTCCAACAGATTCTAGAATACACACATACTTACTGGCGTCTGACAATCATCATATTTCTCGACCTAAGGATGGAATTCGATTCTGTCGATCAAGAGGTACTCTAGCGATGCTTGGCCTTGAAGGGAATGCCGAGAAAATACATTGCATTGATCAAGGCACTCACTCAAACCAAACTCATGCAGCCAGGTGAGGGCTTATGGCGAGTTGTCATCTGAAGTGGTGACAACTAGTGGTGTCCGTCAGGGATCCCCACTATCCCCATTTCTATTCAATTTCATCAAAGATGTACTAATGGACTTAACCCTAACTCACTTCAGAGACTCAGGGACTGACTTGCTACCACGGCATAATCCCGTTGACTTAGAATATCCAGATGACATAGTCCTTTTAAGTAAAGACGCTGACAAAATTTAGAGTCTTCTGAACACCTTAAGCTGCAATCCTCGAATGTTTCGCATACGACTCCCTTCCGTCAAAAGTAAGATGATACTATAAGACTACGTCAACTCCTAGCTTAGTGATAGGGAGTGAAGTGATAGAACATGTTGACCACTTTACCTATTTGGGTAGTTGTATCAGCACCAACGGACTGATTGGCGACGAAATCTCAGCACGGATCCAAAAAGCTCGAGCTGCTTTCGCTGACTTACACCACCTCTGGCGTGGGCGTGACATCCGGTTATCAACCAAGGGACGTGTGTACTGCTCAGCAGTTCGCTCCGTCCTTCTCTATGGCTCTGAAACATGGCCAATACGCGTTGAAGACATGAAAAGGTTGACTGCTTTCGATCATAGACGTCTGCGATCTTTGTCTCACGTTAGGTGGTTTCACAAGGTAAGTAATGTTGACGTTGGGCGTAGAGTGTTGGGCAAAAAGGGAAAATCAATCGACGAGGCTATAAAGTTACATAGACTAAGATGGCTAGGTCACGTGCTGCGCATGCCTAGCCACCGCCTCCCCCGACGGGCATTGCTAGCTGATATAGGTTCAGATTGGAAAAGAGCCAGTGGTGGCCAAACAAAAACATGGCATCAATCCATGAAATCCTTGACAGTTAAACTGAGTCAGGTAGGGAGATGCAGACTCCCGGGTTGGGGCCCTCGGGACTCTAGGAATCAATGGCTGGAGACAATAGGTGACATGGCTCAAAATCGTTGTCAATGGCGCAGATGTATTCAGTCTCTGTAATCTTTCAAAATCTTTCTCAATGGCTGGCGCAGACGCATTCACTATTTACCGTTTTTTATACCCAATGAAACTCTATTGTTCTCCCACATTACCATTCTTTTTACCTCCATCTCTATTTATTATCTGTCTTTTGAACCTCTCTTCGCTCTCTTATCCTGCTTTGTGCGCTAAATGGAGGTAGCGTGGCAACTGGAACTGCTGCACACCTGTGAAAAGTTCTACGTTGAAACCAGTCAGTTAGTTAGTTCATCAACTAAATATACGTAAATTCAGAAGCATGAATGAAAACAAAAACACTGAAACTGTAAGAATGAAAAATTATATAAGTATATGGTTTGATTTTAGTGCTTATGTGGTGAGAGCAGGCTGCTAGCCGATTGGTTGGCACTAATCTACGTTAAGGTCTAGGTCACTAATATGGGCCGTGAGAAAATATGAACAAGCCTGAGTCAACAACCAATCACAGCAAAGTTAACGTGGCAAAAGATGATTCGCAGAGAGAACTCTATTTGTCAAGGAATCCCGAAACAACCAATCAGAAGCCTGCGTTTGTCTACCTAAACAACCAATCAGATGACTGCGCTTGTCTATAATAATGTAGTTGAAAGATGTATAAATACGTGTTGATATTCATAATAAAACGATCTGTTGCCTGGCCCTTGTCTTCTGTTGTTACATTTGGTGTCGCTGCCTACCGACAAATGAAAAGCCTATACCCTGCAGTTTTTGATGGAGACATATGGATCTTCGGGCAGGACTTCAAGGCTTCTGCGCAGTTGGGTGGCGTTCAAGATCTGTCGGCGATGGAGCTGCTACTTGAGACGCTGCTGGGAGGTCGGGCGAAAGCAGCATATGAAGGTGTGGGCCGAAGTATGGACGAATGTTCGACAGGGTCAGGCAAACAGTTTCCAAAGTGGGAAGGACCATATATGGTCACTTCGAGATGGGGTTACGCAGACACAGTCGCAATGGCGAACAATGAGAGGCGCGTGAACGTCAGCGAGCTCCAGAAATGGATACAGCGAGACAAGCCAACGATGACGCCTGCACCAAGTACATCAAGCCGACTTCAGTCGCACGTATTTGACGGGGGGACGAGTGTGGTGAGAGCAGGCTGCTAGCCGATTGGTTGGCACTAATCTACGTTAAGGTCTAGGTCACTAATATGGGCCGTGAGAAAATATGAACAAGCCTGAGTCAACAACCAATCACAGCAAAGTTAACGTGGCAAAAGATGATTCGCAGAGAGAACTCTATTTGTCAAGGAATCCCGAAACAACCAATCAGAAGCCTGCGTTTGTCTACCTAAACAACCAATCAGATGACTGCGCTTGTCTATAATAATGTAGTTGAAAGATGTATAAATACGTGTTGATATTCATAATAAAACGATCTGTTGCCTGGCCCTTGTCTTCTGTTGTTACACTTACAGGATCTGTTACTTTTTGTACTACTTTATGAGACTGAAGTCCAGGTAAATCTGAATTTTGAATGAGAAACTTCTTAATCGACCGTATTCCACGACTTAAAAATCTTCCAAGATATCTTGCTGTACTTTCACGACCAACGAGTATCAGAATAGTCTTATTTGACGTTTGGTCAATTATCTTGCAGTGAATGTCCTTAAGTAGTTCAAGCAATGCTTTCCATTTTGGATTGAGTTCAACATTTAATAGCTCTATAGGATTCAAATAAACAGAAAGACGGAAAATTCATTAATAACTTTGGAGGAAGCTTTCGTTGTTTTAAACTGATAAAAAGATTAAGTAAGTTAACAACCAATGTAGAGTGATAGTAGCTAGTAAGAATAAATTCACCCATAAATTCTCATAAATATACTCAGCAAACATAGCAGAAATTCTTCCACAGTTCAATATAAATTTGTGAATAAAACTATTCATAAAACAAACAGTGATGGTAAACTTTGGACTGTTACAGTTCACAGACGGACGAGCTATAAGAAAGTATATTTTTGACTTTTAGTCCAAAATTTTAGGAAATTATCGACTCTCTGAATGGAACAGGAATGAAAACTGATTGCATTTAACTGATTATTGTTAAACTTTTGACATTAATTGTTTCTCATATTTCACGATAGCCATTTTCCCAAGGATTCTTCTCGAAGATGACGCCTTCATTTAGTCCATCTTCCAAACGCAACATGTTTACCCTAATGTATAGCGTTCTCACCAAATTACACTTATAATTCAGTGGAAAGAAGACATGGAAGTTTATTGGTTTAGCGATTCGTCTTCCAAACTTCGTTTCACAACACCGTTCGATCTACTTGGAAATATGGCGTTATTTGCTTAACCATTTGGGTTTAACCTAACAAGTCTTGGGCTTAAGTCCTGCTCGACTTACTTTAGCCTTCACAACTTGTGTGGTTCACATCCTAGTAAATCCAATTCACCTGAATAACCTTTCAGAAAACTAAAAAATCTAAAAGAATCCTGCAATCATTCTATGAGACCGTTAACCCAATTCCTAAAAGCATCGAAAACATTTAACTGGATGACAAGGAATTCATGTCATTTTTAACGTCACACCGTTATAAACTTCAATTAGACAAAAACTAACAAAGAAGACTATGTAACAAATATTCCCTAACGATGACTCTCTCCCCGGACACAGAAAAATCCAATATTCAAGTTGGACCACATCAAAAACATGAAAATCTATTCCAGGTAACTGAGTTTCAAAAAATGGAAATTTAACAGTCGGTTAGCATCATTATAAGTATGGTACACTGCTGAAAATATAAATATGCGCACGGTTAGTTAAATCCACAAATTTACTGCCTTACCCATATTAAAAATTCGAAGAAACAAATAAAAGTCACTTGTGTTAAAAAAAAGTTGAGAAGTCACCTTTTGCCTCTGAGTAGCAAAAGATATTACCATAGATGAGGCATAATACACACTATGTGCATGTTTATTAAAATATATGATGAAAGAACTGATTTAAAAAATCACCCTCAATTAGTTTTAAAATATCAGTAAATAAGTCACACAATAGTCCATTAACTAGTTGTTTTTCAAAATCAGTCGCATTTTATTTGTGAAAACACAAAAGTGAACTGAGCAACCGTCAATGGGAAGCTTCATTACAGAAGATAAGACGCAACCTATGAAACATGTTACGACGTTTGTAACAGAACAAAAAATGAAGTATTTAGAAACGTTTCAGAGCACTGAAGTTACAAAGGCGCTCGTTAGCCAAACCATGTTTATAACGTAAATATGAAATACGGCAAACCTATGTTTCAGTATACTTTTGATAGTAACGATTATGAAAAAAAACAAGTTTTAGGGCGGAGATTTAAAGGCGGACAAGTACGTTTTTTTCAACCTTTCTATACACTAACTTGACACGTTCGGATTTCTTGCTTGCATGTTGTTATACTTGTCTGTTTGTCTATTTGTCATATCCTTTTTGTTCCTCGAGTTCTGAGTGGAATATAACGGTGGCGAGGATGTTATTTCTAACTGGTAAGGTTGCTAGCCTCACGCTCAAACTGCCCTCTTTTCCAGGCCGATTAGTAAAGTAGACGAGGCTTAGCAGCGCGTTAGCTGGAAATAGAACCCGGACAACCCCAAAGAACTGTCACGTATTTTCCCAACAAGATGAAACCTATTTATTATGTATATACAGAAATCAGACAACAAAATGCATTGAAATCCATTAGAACATACTTTTGCTGTAGTCACTGTATACACGAGACCTGGCGGATGATAAAAGACGATCAGCTTGATCCATCAAAAACCAACTAGGACATCCCCTTGAAACAGTTCTTCTTGAATTCGAATTGAGTTCATTCTTTTGACCTATACCTAGGCTTGATAAAGCAGCCTGACGTAAATCTTCTATGTTAGTTAAGAAGTTGACTGCATCACCTTCAATTAGTAGACGTAATAAACGCCGCAAACTAGCAATCTCTCCAATAAGCCGTCGACTTATGGAACTAAGCTGATTCCATAAGGGATCAACATATAACGAGATCTTTTTTGATTAATAAAAAGAAATAAGGAAAGTGTAAAATTGTTACTAGGCCTGTAGATAAAGAGAAGAAACTGGTAAAAATAAATATTAAAGAAGACAGACTTGATAACCTCACAAGTCTGTTAAAAGCCACCTATCAGCGTAGAACATGCATACTTCAAATGTATCAGTTAATCTAGGATACACATTAGCATTTATGTTTACCGACTATAACCAGCACTTAGGCAAAATAATATTCCTTCGAGTTTACAATTTGCCCAAAGAATCCTTTCTTTTACTAATTCCCCTAATATGCAAAGTATCTACGAAATCTAGTGAAATATTTTTCATTATATTAAAAATTATCTTAATTAAGCCTTAGTGGATAATGAGCTGGTGAATAATAATGGATATGAAAATCCAATGACACTACTTATGGTTCACATGGTAATCAGTAGTATGATAAAGAACCAATTACTAAAAATGTCTGATTCAATGTACTTACTATTAATCAATTCATATGTGTAATTTATCTGAAGATTTGATTTTTCAGAGAAAAATCCAGATTATTATTGTAATCCATATAAGTGCCAGTGTGAAGATTCAGTGCAAATACCAATTAGAACATATAGAAAATCAAACAAGCGATTCATCAAGGAGTCTGTTTTCAACGAATTAGTTCCTCAAGTTGTACAGGAGGATATATATATATATATTGAATTAAATAAATAAAGGTAACAAGCAAGATACTACCGGAAATTGTTCATAGTGAAATTAATAATAACAATCGACATAATAAGGGAAGGATATACCAATTAAAAAAACAAAACGAGAAATAATTAGTGCTTAGGTAGGAATAAGGATTATAATAATTGAGCATGTATGGATTACGACCATGAAAAAACGAGTGATTGGACACTTTTACTATAAACAACGGTCTGGGTTTTCTATTTCAATGGCCAAAGTTTCACTAATACAGATGAGTAGGACGAGTGTGGTGAGAGCAGGCTGCTAGCCAATTGGTAGACATTAATTTACTTCAATGTCTAGGTTACTAATATTGGCTGTGAGAAAATATGAACAAGGCTGATTCAACAACCAATCACAGCAGACTTAACGTGGACAAATATTAATAATTAAAAAATCTTCCTTCACGTTTCTTAGTGGAACATAGGGCCCCAAGCTAGTGGCTTGAAGTTTCTATAGCAGTGTTTATTTTTTACAGGATGGGGTTGCTAGCCTCATGCCCAACCTTTCCTCTTTACCAGCAGTATTTCTGGCTTAGCGAGGTGAAGGAGTGCGTCGGCCGGGAATCGAACCCCGGACCATGTGCATGGTTGGCGAACGTCCTAACCGCTATGCCACCGACGTGGACAAATATGATTCGCAAATATATGCCTCAACTTTCCGAGAAACCAGAAACAACCAATCAGAAGACTGTGTTTGTCTGCTTGTATAAGCTATAATAATCTACATGAAATATATATAAATACGTGCTGATTTCCGTAATAAAAGGATCTGTTGCCGGCCCTTGTCTTCTGTTGTTACACGAGTAATAATTTCGCCTTGTAGTTAACTTTAAAGGAAGAGGTTGTAGAAATAAGGTGACCAGTGTCAACCAGATGTTTAATTATCACTCCTCCTATAGCCCCACTTTCATCTCTTCGTAACCATGAAGGATTTACTTATTTATTTACTTAATCCAATATAATGTTTGTTGCAATGTTGTCTTATGATAGTTATCACCTTGTTGCATCACGTTTTAATTGCCTACTAATCTTATTATTTCTACACCCCCTTTTGAGAATTATACATTCCATGAACTATCTTGTTAAGTACATAACCAATTATTTTTTATCACAATTCGCATTGCTGATGATAAATTGAAAAGACTCTTCGTTACATAACTTGCTTTGATCTCCTATTATAATAAAACACACCAAGATTTCTTTAAAAACCACACACACACACACAAATGATATGATAGAAATACATTTCTAAAAGTTTGACAATGACTATAATCGAATAAACCTGTATCTTATAACATCTCTTAAGAGAGTGAGTTATGATTGTTAAACACAATATTAAAACTCTACAGTTATCTTCAGTCGGACAAAAGTGAATCATTTCTTCTGACAATCAATTTCAACAGAAAAGTATTAATCAGATTAATTATGAAACCATGCAGGAATTATTGAATAGTGAAACTGTCATCATTTTTTGAGCAGACAACCTTTCAGTCGTTATTCACTATCGTATACAATATTTTTGATAAAGTGATATGAAGAGAACAATTCGACAAAGTTTAATCTAGAAGTGTGAATCATCAATTTTACCTCATTAAGATTTACATAACAATTAAACAATGTATACCATCGTCTGTCTTATTTAAAGTAATCATTTTAAATAATAATAGTAGTAATAGTAAATTATAAACAACTTACGAGGTTGTCGAAATTCGGTAGAAGAGCCTTTTCTAAGGTGAGGTCGTCTGTATTCAGTGTTGGATTTTGATCACACAATTCTTTTAATGAAGCCTTCATAAGATCAAGAAGACAAGACTGACAAATAATCATTTCCGGAGTCAGTCTTACCTAATGGGATGAATAATGTACATCAAAGCAATGTGTTTATGCTTCTCAAAATAAAGTGAAAAAATTATGGTTATAAGTTATAGTATGAGAAACTTACTCCAGAATTTAGAATCACCACAGGTATAAATTAATAAAATATAAAAGTACAACAAAAATATATTCCATTCACAAAATGTGACTAGTTTGTGCATGTATGTACTCATTGAAAATATTGTATATTAGAAAATCTTACGCGAATCTCTTCCACCTCAGGTTGACTTTCATCCAAACACGAAACAACTTGCACATTGAACCTGGGCCAAAGAACAAGTTTACAAATACCCAACTGTGTCATAACTCTTTCTGCATGATTATAACCAGAAGTGAGAGATAAAGCGTTGTCACTGAAAGCCTTGATGAATAGCTGAGGATTGCGTTCTCGAAGAAGTCGAATGGCGAAGCTATCTTGACATGCTTCATGTAATTCATGTGCACGAAGAATGAGAACACCACACACCAAAGATACAGGCATTCTTTCCATCAAGAGATCTACAACTAGTATGCGGGAGCTGACGAATACCACACCGCCTCGTTTGTAAATAGCTTCACGATCTTTGTTGTTTACCTCCGCTGTAATTATGCCAGGTGGATGCAATGCTCCATTTTGTTCCAAAAGACCTATTAAGAAACGAGCCTCTGGAAGACGATAATTCGAGACAAGCACTAAGTTATGAGGATCTGAATGTAACCTGATTGTTGAATAAACAATAGCATCCATTCCTAAACCATCAGCAAGGACCAACAATGAGTTTTCATGGTGAATATCAACAAGAATAGAGGCTTCATATTCAAGTAGCTCGTACATCATTAACTGGAAAATAATAATTAAAAAAATAAAATCTATTATGCTGTAGGGATAAAGTTGCAACAAATTTTTAATGTATTTTTTTTGTATTATTTCACTCTTCTAACCCAAGCTTTTGGTATTTTTATTTTTGGTAAGATCAACCATGAGAATAAAAAAGCATATTTTTCTAACGGCGCTTGAAAATTATTAAAAGTGCATTGCAACACAAATGCGTAAACAGGGAAATATATAAAATCTATTAGGTATCATTATGTTTGTTTCCTTAACTGTGTCACACTTCTTAATTGAAGTATATATGAAATGAGCATTTAGGCTAATGCACAGCTAAATAATCATAAACATAAAAACCATAAAACGGATGATGATCAAAAGAAACAATGTCGAGTAATATGTGTAATTTTACCTAACTTCTCAGGAAATGTGGCCAGAAAAAGCAATGTTCATCGAAAATATTTTCCAACGACAACAAACAGTACATCAGGAAAGTGTAAAAATATCATAGTTGTCAAGATTCTGAGGTTAATGTTAAACAAACAAATCCAATTAGCTTTACAGTAGGAGAGAATACTGCAGTCGAAAAGCGTAGGGTAAGCACTAAGAGAAAGCGTTCCCTAAGTTTCAGATTCAAATATTACTTTGGGAAAAGTGTAGTGTTAGTAAACGTGACATATTTTAATATTTTGGTGAGTTTTATTCATCAATAATATATGCTCACTAATATGTCAACTGTGGGCAGATGCGAAAAACCCTAAAAGAAAAACAGAAATCGTAAGAAGCAACCATTTTCACGACGGTTATCTAGTCTTCTGAAATACAGTTACAAATCTCGCCTGTCAAGAAACAACCACGAAACCCACCCACCCCCCTCGAGTTCACAAGTATTTTATCATCAGACAGTTTGCCCTCAACACTCAATACATCCCATGCCGACCATATCGCAAGTTTTTAATACTACAGTGCATATAAACAGATAATGGCTAGCGTTCAATTTAGTGCCTTAATTTTTGATGACAATAATATATTGAGATCTCATTTGTTTGTTCCTAATCTTGCAACAAATGTGCAACAGATTGTAGTGTTTTTTAAGTCGATCAGTGCAATGGAAGGAATCCACTCTGTCCAATTCTACTTTCCTATAGAAATGAATATGGAAGCGTTTAATTAGTCACACTTTACGCGTCACTCTCTCCAAGTAAGTTTCCTGTGTACATCAGAAAAAAATAGACAAATATATCTTTAAGTTGAAAGCTCTTACATGATATGTATTGTTGGACGGATTGAGCGATGATTGTTTTTAACCTACAAATGTTTGGACAAATGCATATGCACATTATCTCCAACATAGTTCCATAATAATTTTTTTACTTCTTTTTCTTCGTCACCTATAGTATTTTTCAAGAATTTTCACCATATTATTTTAAATCGGTCATCTTGACAAATCATATTTCGAATTCATGTGTTGATGTATGAACTGGTTAATCGGACCAATTAACAATAGGTTTAGTTGATGGAAGTGTTGTGATAAAGTCTGGTTGTGAAAAGAATATGCAGAAATATGTTGTACCTGCTCACATATTTTAATCATACTCGCGCAATCGTTTAAATATCAATGGAAACTGATTATCTGGAGCAAGGATAACTCCAGGTTTCGTGGACCAGGTGAATATCAACGCTTCAGGGTTTGAACTGCTACCATGGACAAGTTTTGCCAGTCCAGAATATATTGATGATACATTCACCTAAGATAATAGCACTAAGTTTAGTCTTCCAAGTATTTTGGCATGGTATACGCCCTAATTATCTATGAGGTAAGACCAAGATGAGTTCGCACTGACTATCAGTTTAGGGATACGTCGGGAAATGAATGACTGCATTAACCACCTCAATTATTTGGGGGATTCCATTATCTCTAATTAGCCGGTCATCGACGAAATCTCATTCAAGTCTCGTTTTAAATTTACTAGCTTGCATCATATCGTGACACCAGGTCATCCATCGAAAGACATGCGTACTGTGTAGTACTTCACACCATCTCACTTTGCGACTGGCAGACATGGCGACTGAGGGTGAAACATACGAGAGAATTAGTGGTGTTTGACCACAGGTACCTTCATCCTATCACTCATGATTGGTGGAGTAATAAGGTCAGTAACAATGAGGTTAGGTGTAACGACACATAAGACGAGACGGTCAATCGAGGTGGTAGTGAGGCCTCATCTATTGAGGTAGCAAAGAAATGTCTAATGCAATTAGACCCACTACGTTGCTTACCGAACAATGTTAGCTGAATTGAGACAATCGGTAAATAGATCGAAGTAGGTAGACCAAACCATGACACCAGTCAATGAAGTCTCGGATTCTTCATATGAGCCACACAATGAAATATAAACTGGCTGATTTGTGCAATTTGGATGTTAAGACCTAGCAACTGAAGACTACCGGTATTCACTCCTTGTTATCCTCCAGATTTTGAGATTTCTCACTAGTTTTCATTTAATTATTTTTTGACCTGTGCATGTTCATCGATCCTAATCTCATGACACTTTTCATTACTTTAATACGCAGATTCCAAGATAACGTAACTACATATAATGGCGGAGCTTTCTTCAAGGCTACTTAATTTATTATGGCCAATCACTCTAGTTGTATCTAACTGATCTAACTGAACCAAAACTATTACTTTGACATATGTGATTAACCTCAGAGTCATTGCATGGTGATTGGCAAATTAAGATATTTTCCCTAATTGAATCTATCGGATCCTTAAGTCGAAAAAGTTTGACTCTGAGTGAGCTGGATGATTTAAACCCCACCCTGATTCCAACCTTATTAGGAATCCTATGTACAGCCTCTAGTTTTTCTTTATATGGCAGTACCCGCAAGACTTTGTTATGGATATTTGTACATTTTTGAACAAAGCGTGATGGATAATGTTCTTCTCATTTATTTGATTTCATTAGTCTAATAGAGTATCCAGATTCCACTGCCGTAATCTCGTAACAGGAAACTTCATACCTAAGCCTGTGAAACCACCTTGCATTTTCTGATAAGTTTATTATTAAAACAATAGTAATACGCAAGTTTGATTATTAGTTAGCAATCCATACTGCACTAACAAATAAGTTTTCACCTAACTTACAATTAAACAAAACTGACTAAGAATAAAATGATTGTTTTACTTAATGAGTGACCTGATTGGTTCTTAAAATCCCCCACCAGATACTCTACACCTCCACATGTAGCTCAAACTGACGGTCAAGGAACTTTTAGATTAGTGTAACATTTAGTTTGACCACTCATTTGCAATAAAACCCAACGTCAGCTAATACTGCTTGTCGAGAAAGGAATGGCTTGGGATGCTCTTCGCGTATTCTAGGCATCCCAATCTATGTAGCTTCATAACCTTATCGACTGACTTGTCCTGTTTACCTTAAACTACGTCTAACTTAAGCATTACATATTATGTTAAAGCAATTAATACAGGAGATAGAACGCAAACATCTGTAGCCAAAGGTAGTTGACCTCTTCATACCTTACACTTTCGATGGCCATGTTTCAACCATAGAGGTGGACTGAGTGAACGAATGTTTTATCCATTGATTGATAGCCAGATAACATATCTTGACCAGAAATGAAATTTCGTCAGTAATCAATCTCCTAAGTCTGACACAAATAGCATAATGACCGAAGTGTTCAGCACAATCGAACACTTCACTTGCTACCCTTAAACTGTAACTGTATGCACAAGTCAAACAGTTTCTTACAAACGAACCTGAGACCGTTATTATTTTAAGGTGAATGGGGCTAGCTCTATTATGTAGTTGCTCGAAAATCTGATTACATGGACAACAGTCTCACAGAATCGTTACAGTTAGAAGCGGTTGGCAAGTTTATATTATTTAGGGCGAGAAATAGATCAGAAACCATTTAGCAAGATTTCACCAACACAATACGAACCTGTGGTGTAATATATTTCCATATTCATTAAGCACATAATGGTCCGACATCTTCTACTAGACAATGTGGCAAAGTTAAAATTTAAGCACCGCTAACTACCAATCAGCGTATAACCTTGAACTCACCAGTCATGTAAAGGAGGCATTTTTTGAATGGAATATATGTACTTATCAGAAAAATCCATAAAATCTGCACAAAAGTGTTACATAGGATAACTTTCTGTCACAGGTGATAAAAGTAGATCTCAGTTTTAGGTTGGTGTATCAACAGAGTATATCTCAATTGTGGGCAAAATTTATTTTGATACAATCTCATAGTGTAATACAGTAATATTTACAGGGCAATAAATTGTGCTCGAAACTTCATCTGTAAACATCACTATATAATAGTGTGAGAATTTATCAAAATAAATTTTAACCACAATGGAATTATACTCTACCACAGTGCATAAGTCCTATTCTTATATCAACAGAGTAATTTAACCACATTCTATGCATGTAATTATTTAGGTATTGTAACCCTAATCTTTGATGAACCTAACCCCAACGTGAAAATATCCCTAAACTAACCTATGTTAATCTAACCCTAACGTGTCCTTGGCAAAACCGTAACTTAAGCTTTCTCAACCTAAGCTAAAAGTTTCCAGATATCCCATTTAATAACATAGCACTTAGATGAGCATATTTTATTGATGGTGACAACATTATTTCCCAGGTTTCACTAATCTGCTCAGTGGGCGTTTCAGGGTCATTGGTGTGGTCGCCCTCCATCGGTAGTTAGTGGTGCTTAAAGTTTAACTTGGCCGACAATGTTTTACAGACGATTTATTATTCACAAGTGCAGGTTTAGTTACTTTTTGTTGTTTAATTCTAGCAGTGAAAAATCCCCCCATACCTAGAATAGACAGCAGGTCACCTACACTTCACATACTAATTTTATTACTAGAAATTACTACAGCATGGAAATAAAACATGGACCGTATTTACAGATCCTAGTTAGGGATTTTTACATGATATCGCTGTAAAATGCTGACGATGCAATTATCTCAAAACCACATGCAGTGACGCATATATTACCAACCCTTCATCTAAGAAGTACACCGTATAGATAAGAAAACATTAGTACAGAAATTCGCAAAAAGAAGTAGTGAAAGAGTTTTAGTTTCAACAACTTAAAATGAAAAAAAGGACAACCATAAATTAGTTTATAACGAACAGAGAGGTGTAAGAAAAAAATACAATGAAGACAAGTGGAGAGACTCGTAATTTTGAAAACCACAAACGTTAGACAATTTGTATCATTCTTAACATTACCAGTCGTGCCTCAGAATTCCCAAAAGCTGATTTCTAATAGCTGCAGTCAGTAAGCATGACTCTGACCACAAGTCATAGTCAACAAGCTTAGTATTTAGTTAATACCACATCGACAAATTTTTTCCTTACTACAAGGTTTCAAAATAAGTACTTAATTGATACTGCCTAGCACAAGAAAGCAATTGTTATCGGAGAAATTTTTCATAACTGACAATTCATGTATTGCTAATCAATTATGAAAACTAGATAAAACAATACATTCATGCGCAGCCACTTATGAATAAAGGTTGATAAGAATAGCTTCGTGACGTCAATCTTTAATTTGCACTGACAATGAGAAATTTTACAGACGGCGAAGCTATAGAATCGTAGCTAAAGTAAAAAAATTACACATTTTAATATATCGACTCATCCTATTTCCTATCCCAAAACTCAAAGTCAGACTGAGAGTGCAATTTCCGTGTTTTAAAACATATGTACATGGAAATGTGAAAACGGGGCCCTGAAACCAGACTAATTTCACACTAAATTCATTAGTCGAAACCTAAAAGTAGCGCCAACATCAGAAAACGCGGTGAACATCCCAATATTCAAGATCATTTCTGCGAGCTGGCATTAACCAATTATTTCTTTGTGTTCGTCTCTTGATTGTGAACTATAGGTTCTTGATCTTTGATAAACTTCTGCGTACCTCGTCTCACCACTCGACTGTCGCAGCTTTGGTTAACCCCAAAAGCAATAGTGCTGAGATTAATTATATCTGGTTTTTAGTATGAGGTGTGTTAAGACTGTTACTGCTGTGAATGGAGTTGATCCTTTCACCCTTTGGTCCTCCGGCATCGTTGTCAAAAGAAAACTGATGATAATAATAGATATAATTGGTGGGGATTCAGAATAAGATACTGAAAAAGAAATAAAGGAAACCTAAAAAACTGACAGCTAATTTAATTTGAAGTTCCAATATCCGGTATCGTTTTTACGATGTAGTATAAATCAATTTGGTTTCTTTGTGCTCGCTTCCTGATTGTAAGATACAGGTTCCTGATCTTCGGTAAACTTCTGCGTAGCTCCTCCCGCCACTCGACTGTCGTAGCTTTGGTTGACTCCAAAGGGAGTAGTGCTGGGATTAATTTTATGTGGTTTGTAGTATGTGGTGTGTTAAGACTGTCACTACTATGAATGGAGTTGATCCTCTCGCCAGTTAGTCCTTCGGTATCGTCGACAAGAGAAAATCGATAATAATAATAATGCTATTAATAGATATAATTAGTGAAGTTATTTAGACTAATAGACAGAAACGGAAATAGGAAAGCGTGA